CTTTTTAGGGGGATACTGGGGATTGAACTCATGGGCACTTTACCACTGAGACACATCCCCAGCCCTATTTTGTATTTTATTTATAGACAGGGTCTCACTGAGTTGCTTAGTGTCTTGCTTTTGCTGAGGCTAGCTTTGAACTCTAGATCCTCCTGTCTCAGCCTCCTGAGCTGTTGGAATTATAGGTGTGCGCCTGCATACCAACTAAAATGATTTTATTTAAGAAATAAGATTAGCTAATTCTTGGCTCATACTTTGATGTTAAAATCTGAAGACCCTCAGCTGAGCTTGGTGGCTCATGCCTGTAATCATAGTGACTCAGGAGGTTGAAGGAGGAAGAATCTCAATTTTGAGGCCAGTCTCTGCAATTTACACCCTGTCTCAAAATAAAAAAATGGATTTGGGTGTGTATGTAGCTCAATAGTAGAGTGCCCTTGGGTTCAATCCCCAGTACCACAAAAACAAAACTGAAGACCACCAGGTATTTTAAATTCTATAAATCTACAGAAAAGTTGCAGATAAGTAAATTTTATGATTGGTATCATTTAGTTTTTCAAAGAAATACCTAATTTTGCAGTCAGTTGTTTTGGGGAGGAGGTAGCGAAAGGCAACAGATTTAACCTTTCAGGCTGCTCCAGTCAGAGGTGTCATTTACAGTCATCTATGGCCAAGTTAGTGGGAGGCTAATGATATATTACTCAGCTGCATGACCTCCAAAATTAGTGGTTTTTAAAGTCAACTAAAAACAAAGCTTTATTTAGATTTTTCTTCACTAACAGTATTGATCATCCTAGGGTAATGTGTGTTTATGTCATAGTTTTTAATCAAATGTTTAAAATGTTAAAAAGAGAAAGGAAAACTGAAGAAAGCTTATAGAATAGGACATAAATTATTTTTGTACAGCTGTATAATGTTTTTGTTTTAAACTAAATTTTAAAGAGGAAACTTTTATTAGTTATAGTAAGCTTAGTTTAATTTCTTATTGAAGAAAGGAAAGGCCATTTAGTGCAGCCCAAGTTAATTTTGTTTGTAATGTCTCCAATATTGTAAGGCTTCCACATTAACTCACCACTTACCCAGCATCTTTCAGTCCACAAGCTCTCTTTGTAGTTATGTACCTTATATAGATGCATCATTTTTTTTATCTTTGATACCATACTTTTATTATACCTTTCTTATATTTTGGTATGTCTGATACATAGATACTTACCATTGTATCACAGTTGGCTGCATTATTCATTACACTTACATGCTGTACAGGTTTGTAGCCTAAGAGTAGGAGGCTGTATCATTTAGGTTTGTGTATATTCTGTGATCTTCCCACAATGATGAGATCACTCAGCGACTTATTTTTTTCAGAACATATACCCATCATTAAGTGACACATGATTATCACTGTCTTTATTCTTGGAGAATATTTTCACCAGATAGAAAATTCTGGACTTGCATTTTTTTCTTTTCGCACTTTAAAGTTTTGTTCTGTATAATCTAGACCCCATTTTTCTGGTGTGAAGTTAGCTGTCGCTCAAATTATTGTTCCCTTTTATGTAATTATGTTGTTTTCCCTCTGACTGCTTTCAAGATTTTCTGTTCTCTTTGCTTTTTACAGGCATACATGTGCGATTTTTTTCTTTCCTTTTTTTTTTTTTTTTAATTTTGCCAGGAATTCACTGAGTTTCTTGAATTTGTAAATTTACTTCTTAAATTGTTTTTTCAGGGTTTTGTTTTGTTTCTCTTATTCTCTTTTCTTTCTAGAATTCCAGTTACTTGTAAGTTTTATCTTTTAACCTTGTCCAAGTTCACTGACCCTTTCTTATCAATAGTCAGCTAGTAAATTACAGTGACAGTACTAGTAGAAAACTATGGAGATGTTCAAGTTATCTCCTTATCTGTATATAGTTTTTCTGGTGGTTAAGAAAATCAAATACAGCCCACATTTTCTCTACTATTCACTTTCTTTAACATCTGAATGGGTAAAACCAATTGTGCTAAGTTAGGGCCCACTTCCATACCCAGACATGGCCTCAGACAAAAAAAAAAAAAGAACAAAACATTAAAAAACAAACAGAAAACCTTGGAGCTGGGGATACAGCTCTGTTGGTAGAGTGCTTGCCTTGCACGCATGAGGCCCTGGGTTTAATCCCCAGCACCACCACCACACACAAAAAAAGGCTATAAAAAAACCTTAGTACCCATTCTTTGTTTTAAGTGGACTATCTTCCATTTTCTGTTTTTTAGTACTTGTTTTCCATTGCTTTCTATTGGTTTGTTTTTATTTTGTTTCTAAAATTTATAGTTAGTAGAATGTTTTGGTCTGATGCAAGCTACTTTACCATTACCAGGCAATGTAGGAAACTACATAAACTCTTTCCGAATAGTGATCCTGTTTGAGTTCATTTTCTTCTCTAAGATCTTGCTTGAAAATGCTTGGTGAGGGAGGGGAGGGGAGGGGAGGGGAGGGGAGAGGTGGGGAGGGGGGATGGTGGAGGATGGGAAAGGCAGAGGAGCACAACAGACTCTAGTATGGCAATATGTAAATCAGTGGATGTGTAACTGATGTGATTCTGCAATCTGTGTATGGGGTGAAGGTGGGAGTTCATAACCCACTTGAATCAAAGTGTGGAATATGATATGTCAAGAAATTTGTAATGTTTTGAACAACCAACAATAAAAAATTAAAAAAAAAAAAAAAGAAAGTGCTTGGTGAAAGCTTACTAAATAATGGAAGAATGAATGAAATGTTTACTTTGTTAGATCTGTTAAAGAGCTTTTCCAGCAAGTTCATGAGAAAAGAGTAGCTTACTTTCTATCTACATATCTACTTTGTTATTATATCAGTTCTGATCTTTTGCCAATTTTTTGATTCTGTTCTTTCCTCTTTTTTAAAATTTCTTTGTATGTTCTAGACATAAGTCCTTTATTAGATACATAATTTGCAGATATTTTTCTTCTAGGATGTTGTCTTCTTATTTTTAACAGTGTCTTTTGTAGATAGTAGTTTTAATTTTAATGATGTCCAATGTGGTTTTTTATTTATGGACTTTGCTTTTGATATTGATATATTCATTATAATGTCACCCAGCTTTTTCTCTTGTGTGTTTTAGAAGTTTTGTAATTTTAGGCTTTATATTTGGGCATGTGATTCATTTTGACTAATTTTTATGTTAAGGTGTAAGGTAAAAAAAATGGTTTTGTATGTTTATATCTTACTATCCCAACACTGTATGATGAATAGAAGAAAGCTCTTTTTAATAGCTGACTTTTGAATACTTAGGTGCCAGTCAAAATTTTACGTGTTTTGTTATCTACTTAATTGTTAAAGCAAGTCAAGTCTATATGGTGGCTGCTGCTGTTGTCTTCATTAGAGGAAGTTGAGAAAAAAAATTTAGATTACTTGTCCAGAATTGTAGAACTTCCAGGTATCAGAAATACAGTTTGAATCCAGTTCTATCTCTTATAAGCCATAATAAGGAATTTGAGCTTTATCTTTAGTGAAAGATTAAAATATGGGAGTCACTTGTTCAGAGTACAATTTAGAAAGATGACTGATGACATTTTTGGAAATTAGATTGTAGGATGAAAAGATGGGAAGAGGATTTGCATTGATTTAGGTAAAGATTGAGGTCTCAACAACCATACTTGCTAGATAAATTATGGATAGATTTAAGTGAGGTAGGAGTTTGACTTAGCAGAATTTGGTAAATGATTGGACATTAAGTGTAAGAAAGGAAATAATTAAAAATGGGAAGAAAGAATAATAAAATTGAAATTTCCTGTGATATCTAGGGAACGGAAGGAGAATAGATAATTAGAAATTTTGAAGAGAAGAGAGATTTGAGAGATACAAATGGTTAGGGGCTAACATGTAGATAGCTCTCAAAGCATTGGTGGTAAATGAGATATTTCTCAAAGGGTAGAGGAGAGTATCTTAAGCAGAATACTGAGGAACAGTAGCATTTAAAGAGTGAGGAGACAAGTAGGAGTTTGATAAAAAGTAGGAACAGAGAGTAGTACTAATGGAAGGGAGGCGTGCTTTCATATATCAAACACTAGAGTTTTAATTTAAGAGTGAAAGAATTGACTGGGAAAAATTAGAGGATTTTCCCAGTAGAATTTGAAAGCTATAAATTTGTGGTGGTTTAGTCTTCAGTGGTCTTCCCACCCTCAGCATTATTAATGTGGGAGTCAAGGAGCCACTGACTCAACACTATCACACATAAAAGGTAGAAAACACTTTTTAGACTCTCAGGAATGGAAAGATATAGAAAGAGGCTTTAGTTTGAAGATAACGGGAAAGAATTATTCTTAAGTTGTAGTATTCATACTACAACTACTCGCACAATAATTTATATGTTTCGTTTAGAATTAGATCTTAAAGCAACACTTAAAGCAATCTATTGATTGAGTGTATTTTGCTACTTAAATAATGAGTGAACTAATTTTAATATTGGTACAAATAATAAAAAGCAGAGAATTTTTGAAAAATCTTAAAAGGATTAAGTAATACAAAATAATAATATAAAGGAAAACATAAAAATACACCAATTTCAATGTTTGAGCTTGCTTTTTCTTTGTTTCCATCTCTTCAGGGATTGAACTCAGGGATGCTTAACCACTGAACCACACATATCCCCCGCCCCCTTTTTTTTTTTTTTTTTGAGACCGGATCTTGATAAGTTGCTATGCCTGGCTTTGAGTTTAGGATCCTCCTACTGTGGCCTCCCAAGCTGCTGGAATTATAGTTGTGCTTCACCACACCCAGATTTCATCTCTTGCTCAAGAATAAAGTTTTCTGTTAGCATGCAGAATAATTCAAGAACTCTTGACCTCATAGTTTTAAAGTAGATTACTCTCATGTACTCTATTTAGGAAAACCTGTCACAGAGAAATCTGTTCTTGCCCATCACATGCTAATATTAGTAATAGCAGCAATATAATGTAAAAACAATTATACTTTGTTAAAAATTTTCTTTCTAATTTTTGGTTTTGTTATTCAACAGGTTTGATCTGTGGATGAAATGAATCATGATTTTCAAGCTCTTGCACTAGAATCTCGGGGAATGGGAGAGGTAAATATTTACTAATACCAAGAACTTATACCTTCCTTTAATTATTTGAGCTGTTAAGACTCATTTTTTTTTAAACTGTAATCTTGAAAAAATAGTGGTTATATTTTCTAAACTTTATGGGTTTTATTTTATTATTTTAAATCTCTGGTTGTGTGTAATTGTGTAGTTGTGATTTTTCAGCTGCTTTGTTTTTAAACCTATAGCAAGTAATTTTCAGTGATTTATTTAGTGTGATTTGATTCACTTGGATAGATGTATTATATTTTGGTAATGAATCATACATCATTAGCTTTACTCAGAAGAAAAACTTCCTTTATCCTTGTTCTGCCGTTTTATGTATGTATGCTGTGTTTGCTTATTGTTCATTATTCTCCCTTCCCAAAATCTCTCTTGTTCACCAAAACTGTTTGCTTAATAAACTTCTAAATTCTTGACAGGACTCTACTGAAAAGACTTACTATTGTCCCATTGCTATCTATAGTAGAATGAATTATTTTCTCATCTGACTTTCCCTAGATCTTTATAAATACTTTTATTATATTACTGGTTACAGTTTGTTTTATATTTGTCTCTCCTGTAAATTGCTAGCTTTGAATGCCTAGCATAATAGGTACTCCACATTTTAAAATTAATTTTATCATTCCTGTTAATCTGTGATTTTCTTTGAGGCATCAATTTAACCTCACCATTACATATTTTAAGTCAGCTAAAATACTTAGTTTTCCAAACACCTAATGAAATTTTAGAACATTTTGATTATGGAAACTCTTGTGGTCATCTTTATTTTTGTCATGTTCTATACTATACTAACGTAGTGTGGACTTTGGTAATAGAAAATAATAGTAAACAGACCTAAGATGTGTAATTAACTGCTTGCACCTGGAGATTATTTTACTTTGGTAGATTAGAGACCGCCATGAGACTCACTCCATCCAATGCTGTGCTCTTCAGATGCAGAAAAAGAGTCCAGTCACTCCTTTGGGCCACAAGAGGGCACCCTGCAGCTAGCTAACCCTCCCTTTCTTCAGAACAGCGTTTTCCAAAGAGTTTGTCATTTTCAGAGGACTGATTTAAGGGTGAGTTAAGGTGCTTAAGCTTAAGTATTACCAAAATAAATTTGTTAGTCCAGTGCACAAGGTAAAATTCTGGGCCCTAAGATAAATTTGAAAGAGGAAATAAGGGGGTTTTTTTGTTTGTTTGTTTAAAAAATCTATACCTTCACTGCAACACAGTGACCTGCTTAGGCATTATTTACATTATGGGAAACAAAAGAGGCAGAAAGGTCTTATATTCTTTCTTTGCCACTTGTTTCTGTGGTCTTTAGAAAAATAGAATGATGTATCTTAAAAGCAGGTTTGAGCAGTGTTTCAGCCTTTTAATCTGTGACAGACTTGAACTTCTTTCTTAAGAGCAAGTAAAGTCACATTCCTACATTAATTCTGATACTTATACTTAACTTACCAAATGTATATTGTTTATGTGTTTACAAATAGATTCTTTTTCCCCCTTTCTAACTAATATTTGATAAATCTAAAGAGCTTTATAATCCCAAAACGTGTCATCATTAGAAACGGTAGTTAAAAGAGTATTTGGGGATGCAAAAAGGTTTTAGAAAAAGAGGAGCTAGTTTGAATGTATGTTATATAAACTTAAATCCAGACTTTATTAATGGACATGTCAGATATGCAGAACAAAAGTGGAGTCACTTAGGTGTAGATTGCTTTTACTACCTGTTGGATAGCAACCAGTCAGTGTATCTGTGACCTTTAGCCAGTAAAAATGTACTCTTAAATAAACTGTTTTTATGAATTTTTTTTTTTCATAATAGTTTACCAATTACTGTTGTTACCTCTAAAAAATAACTAAGAAACCTCAGATTTCTGTCTCTGGGTTTTCTCCCACAAGCCTTTCTATCTTTCCTCATCTCACAGGCAGCAGGGAACCTTCTGGGATTTCCTTCTTTGCCTGTCTCTCTCTCACCAGTCTTCTCCTTTCCTGACAGGTGAGGTTTTTTTGGTTTTGTTTTATCCCAGAATTCATTCATTGGAATAAATAAAAGCAGCCTTGAGTGTCTGGCTCTTGTGTTTTCTAAAATTGCTTGTTTGGTTTTTTTTTTTAATGGTAATACAAAATCCTTTTTTTAATGGATTGTTCTATTCTTTTTATGATAAAGTTTTGCTTACTATATTTTAAGTGTTGTAAATTTCTAATGTACAAAGCACTGCATCTACATATAGGATTCATTTCAAATGTACTGTTTTTTGTAGATCACAGTAGCTTTACAAGTCATCATCAGAAGGACGATCTCTTGATCTCTTGGTTGTTCATCCAGAAATAGAAATAGATTTGTATTCATCTATTCATGCTTGTCCTTTCTTTTTTAAAAGCCTAATAGCAAATTTTGTCTAAAGTTCTGCTGATTTGCATTATGTCACATGGATTAAAAAGAGCAAAGCATGCATAGGAGATATTCAGCATTGTTAATATACGTAGTGCACTTCGGAGGCACATTCCTATTGTCATTTCGAGGCTATTAGACTGGGTACTTGTTTATTTTTTACATAATGGAAAAAAGGACCCTGCCTGAAATTTCTTTAGGGAATCCAGAGTTTAACTTTAAAATCATTGAATTAGTATGTTTAATTTTGAGAATATTTTAATAGCTTAGTATGATAAATAATGCTCTTTCCTTTTTCTGATACAATAATTTTTAAAGTAAAGTTTTGCATCAAGATCCTAGGTATGGTAAAGTGTAAAACATTAGATAGGGTAGTAATGAAACTTCTCTTTTCTCAGATCTCTCACTAGGGCTATGAGCTTGAGTAAGATTGACTTATTTTGAAGCAGAAATAGAAATAATGTGTTGTATGAGTCACATACATCTCTCAAATGTTCTAACTTTGAGCAGTTATGGATAGCTTTTAGGGATAGTGTTTAAAAAGTTGATCATAGTTTATATAAATCCTGTCTCAGTAATTCTATACTGAAAGTTTGTCCATGATAACAGGAAGAATATCACAGTATCTTAAACTGCTTTCATTTTTAACTAGTGGAAATTTTCAGAAATATCAATGAATTAGACTATAATTGAAAAGAACTCTGTGGTAGTTAAATGTAAAGAGAAAGACCTTAGAATTAAACAGATATAGGGTTTCCAATCCAATTGCTGCCATTTACTAATTATATGTATAACCTTGATCAATTTAACTTTTGACTCTTTTTTTCTTATGCAGAATGTAACTATAGCAACTGTCTTTCCTAAATAATAGGGTTTTAACTCCCCCCTAGAATAGTCAAACTGACTCAAGAAAAAAAGAAGGCATACAGCTCTTAGACAAAATCTTTATAATGAATGATATAATTCTTTGAAATAATCAGCCAGTTTAATGTTGCAGACGAGTGGTTGTCTCATGTATAATATTAAAAGATTTCTATTTTGAGGTTTGTAAAAGCTTCTAATATTTATGTAACTGCTGTGTGTTGGTTGTGTTAAGTGGTTTACTTATGTTATTTCATTCTAGTTTTTTAACTTTTATGACCAGAGCTTATTATCTTTCCTTTAGAGATAAGGAAACAAGTTCAGAAAGAATAATTAACTGGCCCAAGGCCACACCACATAATAATACCTGAATGCAGTTTGAACTCCTGCCTGTCTTGACTATTTATAATGCTATTTTCCTTTGGAAATGTCTATATTTGTTGTTAGTTGGTTAGTATTAAGGGATATTGGGAATGGAGAAGATGGGGAAGTGATATGAATTGAAAAAATTAAAAATATTAAAATATTATATCCATAAAATAAATGAAATCCAGAAAAGCACCATTCTTAGGTTTTAGGAAATTGCTTTCTGTTTTTTGTTCTCTGTACAACTTGGGTTTTAGCATCTGTTTTTGTCTTTTATGAACTTGTATTTTAAGTAGAGAGACCTTGCATCATGATTTGCCCAGGATAATCCAGTTACATATCTGTTACGATATAATTATTATAATAGCATCCCTTTTTTCAAAAGTGTCCTAGTTTGGATGATGTTGTATGAGCACTTAATTTAAAACAATAATGTGGGCATTTAGTTTTAAATTCTTCTAAGTCCTTGGATTATCTTTATTTGGCTGTCTTAGGATTTTATGTAACTGTTTATATTAGAGAACTCTGATGTATAAGTGTAATTCAGTAAATGCTAGAGTGGGAATTTTTTTCTCTTATTAGTGCAGGAATGTGATTTAATTTTATTTTTGATACAATGTGCTGGGGTGCTTTTTTTTTTTTTTTTTTTTTTAGTGGGGAAGGCAAGCCATAAATACTTTTGAAGTAAAGAACATTGTATGTACACTCAGTCGTATCTGAGATGAAGGATAGGTCAGGTTGACAAGAAATACTGAGTATACTGACCTTACTTTAGAGTTTCTGTGAATTAGGGAATAAATAAAAAGTGGTAGTGAATAATGTATTTTACAGATATTTAAGGATTTTAAGCCTTGTTTTCTATATTTCTACTATAGTAAAGAAAAATCTCTGGGGGCAAATTTACATCAATTTATTGTTTAACCTCTAAAAACTTTTTTAACTGATCTTTTTTTCTGAATTGTTGCCTGCTCTTAGATTTAGTCCATTTTAACCTGTTCCTGGTCAGAAGATAGTGGTTTCTCGAAAAGTATTTGAATCACTGTCTAAATTGCCACAGAAAGCAAGTTCTAGAATGTTTAGATCTTTGGTAGAAGTATTAAGTTTAACTACTAAATTTGTTTCCTATGCACGATAAATTGTGTTAACAAGAGAGTCGTAGTATAGTGCTTTGCAAAAATATTCACACTTGGTAAGTGTTAACAGATTTTTCCCCCATGTTTCTGTTTTTTATACCTATTTTGGATTCCTTATTTGTTATTCTTGTTTTGACACTGAAATGTTTTTCTTCATGAAGTATGGGCAAAACAATTCTTTATTTCGGGGATAGTTTTCATCCTTCTGAAATGACTTGCTTATGCAATGTTTTTAAGAGATTAATTTGGGTTTTCCTATGAATAAATGTTTATTTAAATATATCAAATGATGCTGTAATATTAGTATTATCAGCTTTTTGTTTGAATATTTACGTGAATCTTTTATAGTGATTTTTTTTTTAATTGAAGGAATGGAGCTATTGTAGTTTAGTTACTGTGAACTTTGGTAAGAGTAGATGATTGTGTAAAATATCTATAATTATTCATAGCCAAGAAGATCCTAAATGCAAAAACTTTTCTATTTTAAAAAACAGAATTTTGTTTCCTTTAAAAATTTGCTTATTTAGCAAAAGATCTGTGAAATGGGAACAAGGCTAAATTGATATTATCCCCCTATCTTCAGAGCTGCTTCTCCTGATCTACTCCAAACATCACCACAAACTCCTCCACCCCCCTAACTTTAGTAAATGACACCTATCATTATCTTTTTAATCCAACTACTAAGGTTGTATCCCTTTTATACACCTTTTCCCATTATCCATATTCAGGTCCAAATTTGACTGTCTAGAATGCTTCTCAGATCCATTTTATTTTCTCAGTTCTTTCTGTTAGTAGTACCCTATTTCAGTTCTTGCTGCTTTGACTCTATTGTAATTTTCCTAAACTGGTCTCTTTGTCTCCAGTCTTTCCCCTTCTATCTCTTATTCCTTACAACTTGAGTTGTTTTTCAAAACGGCTATCTTGCCAACCTGTCTTGATTTCTCTTGTTACTTAAGTATAACATCCAATTTACTTAACATGTCTCCTAAGAGTCCTCATAATTGACCTGGTTAGCTTTACCAGTATTAAGTCTTGGCCTTCCAACATCTGTTTCTCTTATATGCTGTTCTCCACATGTTACATTTTCTAAAGTTTTGCCTTTGTTTGTGCTTGACTGTATTTTATTTATGCTTTTTTTCCTTACCTTGCCTTCCCACTTTCAACCTCTAGCGTGCCCCCCCCCCCCAGTATATTCTCTCTCAGACCTCAATTCAAGTATTAGTTATATTTTATCATAGCCTGTATGTTTATGAGCTCTGAAGATGAGATGAGCATGCCCTTAAAGAGGCACACATAGGCAATTTAGTATGATATGTATTTTACTAGAAGTATATACAGGTTTGATTATTAGCACTGAAGGACTGGGCACCTAATTATGGGCTGAGAGTGTCTTATTTATGAATGCTTATTTAAAATATCAAATGTATGTCTCAGAAAGATTGTATATTCAAACAGATATGCCAAGCTGTCTCCTGAGCATCAGGTATAGTAGCAAGGAAAGACCTGAATGGATATTAAGGAATAGCTAGGAATTATACATTTTGATTAATCAGTGAATGGTTTATCAACTCAATTTTTACATGGTGTGTATGTCACCATGTAGACTATCTAGCATAGGGCCTTAAGATTGTTATTTCAAAAGTATCTGTAGGTTTTTTTCTGTGTGTGTTTTCTATCTATAGCTTTCTGATTTGGAATTGGTGGATTCATAGTATTCAGGAGCTAGTAAGAATTGTGAAATTCACTGTCATTGAATGACTGAAGTAAGAAAGAAAAAATATTCTCTATCCTGGATGTTGTAGGATAGGAGGTTGTCCAAAGGCAGTTCTTGAAAGTAAAAGAAAAATGTTAATCATTCTTTTAATGATCTCTTTTTGAGTAAGAAGTTTAATAGGCATTTTGAAGAAATTTACATATAAAGAAAACCACATAAGAAAAATGTTTGAAAAACAGTAGTCAGAAGTGGACTTTGATTTATTGTTTAGATTCAGAATTATTAGAACCAGTACATAAACATAAACAGGGAGTTATTTTACTGTTAATAGAAAATTTAGAAAACATCATTCTCATTTTTGTTAGCATCAAAAACTAATGTGTACTATTAGTGATATGTTTGTTATTCCCTTTGTATTCTTTGTAATTAGAATAAAATTTAAATGTAAATTTTTCCTCCCAAATAGCTTTTGCCTACCAAAAAGTTTTGGGAACCTGATGATTCAACAAAAGATGGACAAAAAGGCATATTTCTTGGGGATGATGAATGGAGAGAGACTGCATGGGGAACTTCTCGTAAGTTATTGTTGTATGCATGAGAATTATGAATAAACTCAATGTTTGTTTTGTTTTTTTCCAGTCCCCACCCTGGCCCTGGCCCTAGGGTGTCACTTGCCTTTCCCCCACAGCCCTCTACCTCAGTGTTTTTTGTTGTTTTTTAAAGCCTTGCCTGTCCCTAAATAGTATTCAGAGAAAAATAGGATCTTGTAAGTCATTATAATTCACATTTTCTTGTGGCAGTTAACCCTTGTCTGTGGCATACTTACTTGATTAGTACAGTTAATTGATTAGATGTGTTTATCACATTAAGGCCTTCTTAAGGTTTTTGTTGGTTTGTTTTTTTTTAATTCACTCTGATTATAAAATTCTGAGTTACCACTAAAATAGAGGACCTATTTGTTGAACCATAAGAAGTTTTACTTTTAAATGGTCTTGTATGACAATGACTACTGATTTATCTAGTTGTTGCTCAGTTAAGCTTTATTAGACATTGGCCACATCCAGAAAGGAAGTTAATTGTCTTAGTGACATAAAACTCCTAGAAAAGAGCAGATGAATGTTTTTGATTTCCAAAAGGAGTGAGGAGACAGTTTGATCTAAGAAACTCTTAAGGAGAAAAGGTACTGGCATGTAAGGAATATAACTTGTAGGAGTGTCAGTATTTATTGGTAAATTGAAAAACACAGTTGTAAACCATTATATTTTGGAAATGTTTTTGATTAGTAAAATTTGAGAGTTGTACAGACAGAACTGTTAACATAAATTTTACAAATAAGTTTTCTCTTTTTATTGCTGAGTTTAATGCAGCTTGCTTTACCTATGCAAAATGCCCAAAGTAATAAAAAACCAAATTCCCCAATAAAACTATTGCCTAAAAGCTAAAACTCAAAGGTTAGGGAGATCTAAAAGAAGTTTTAATTTCATTTTCAATCAAATAGATCAAAAACTTTTGGTAATAGCTAATTTAGGCTGGTATTTCCTTAAAATATTGGAAATTTTCTTTCAGTTTAGTGATAACAAACAGGTAATATGCCAGGTTTGGGGAACAGAAACATATTAGACCCATAAAGTATTCACATGCAAAGCATCCTGAGCAGAACATGGAAATGAAAAATTATTTTCAGGATGGAAGATAGAAGAAATATCAAATTTATCACTTTAGTCAGTTCTTCTATCACTTCTCCCAAGTTTTAGTTGCATAGATTAAAATTTTGATGATGAATATTAGTCTTTTACCAAAAAACATGAGAAAACTAGAAATGAATGGAATTTTATTTACTTAACAAACATTTATTAGATTTCAAGCACATACAAATATGAATAATACATTCCTTGTTCTAAAGGATTTGTCATTCTAAGATTTTCCATGGGTGCAGGAGACCTACTCGTATACCATACTCATTGTTTGCTATTTTAGTCAGCTGATTCTCTGCTGCAACTAAAGAACCTGACCAGAACAACTTTAGAGGAGGAAAGGTTTATTTGGAGGCTTATAGTTTTTCAGAGGCTCCATTCCTTGGGGGCTGCAGGTGAGGTAGAACATCATGGTGAAAGAATGTGGCAAGGGAAACAGATCACATGGTGATCAGAAAGCAGAGGTCTCCACTTTCCAGATAAAAATATAAACCCCATAACCACACCCCACCTGCCTCCAGTTATCACTCAGTGAATCCCATCAGGGAGTAATTCACTGATTAGGTTAAGGTTGTAGACCAATCATTTCTCCTTTGAACTTTGTTTCATTGCCTCACATGTGAACTTTTGGGGGACGCCTTACATCCAAACCATAACATCAGCTAAATCAATATACTTGTGATTATCAGTTTCAGTGTGTCCTCCTGGTACTTTCAGGCCTTTGAAAAGTGGATTTCTGTAACTGGATTGCTCTCACTTTCCCCCACACTTTAAACTCTTTACCCTTCATATTTGGCTTAAATATAACTTCCTTTGGGATTCACTCAAAGACTGGGAAGAATCAAAGCTCCATCTTTTCTATTGCCATAATATCCTAGATTATTTTTATTGAAGCACTTTTATCCTATTATGATTGCTTTCTATTAAATCTGTGCTCTTTGAGGACAGAGATTATCTTGTTTGTTGAATTTTCCGAATGTAGCATAATGCTTAGCGTACAAGGGGCAGTAAATCAGTATTTTAAACTGTGGATGAATGTTTGAATGAAAGGATATAATGGCTAATCTCTCCTGTATATACATGGTGAAATAGAAATGTTTTAATATAGTTCAACAAAAGTAGCAATCATTCAAAGTTATGAATTATAGTTAAATGAAATGATAATTGAATACCACAGTGATGCTCAACGTGGATAGTTGAAGGGCAAAACATAACATCCAGTATTTTACCTGTTTGTGAGTGAACCAGAAGTAACTAGTAACTTACTGGTTCCTTTCAAAAGATTTCAGCAAAAACTATTTGAATGTTGCCTCCCATGTGTTAATTTTATTTGTATTTTATTTTATTTTCCTTTCATTATAAAAATATGTAAAAATAGAATTTGTATCAGGTGAATAATTTTGTTTTGAGAATTACCAGGGAATGACCGAGGAGTGTTTTGTTGCTGAGACTGGCCTCAAATTAGTGATTCTCCTGCCTCTGCCTCCCATCAGTGAGATTATAGGCATCTGCCCCTGCGCCCAGCTAGAAAAGATTTTTTATCTTTTTTATTTTGGGGGTGGGTTGGGGTATCTGAGCTTGAACTCAGGGGCTCTCAACCACTGAGCCACATCCCCAGCCCTATTTCAGGGTCTTACTGAGTTGCTTTAGCGCCTGCTGTTGCTGAGGCTGGCTTTGAACTCTTGATTCTCCTGCCTCAGCCTCCCAAGCTGCTGGGATTATAGGCTTCCCCAAGCCCTGACTGTCAAAAGAGGTGTTTTTTAAATAAAAGCTTAAGGTGGTATTTAGCCTTTTCACCAAGGAAATACTGTGGTATTATTGGTTTTTCCCAACTCATTCATGTTTCTAATGTGACAGCAGTATGAACTATGAAAATGCTGCCAGTTTGGAAGGTGTTTTCTGTTTTTTCCCTTAAAAACAAACAAACAAAAAACTGATTTCATAGGACTCACCAAAAGAATATTAACTTTTTGACATAGTGCTTATAAGCAACTTTGCTTTCAGATTAATATTTCTACTTCCATTAACCTTTTTGGTTTGATTTTTCTTTCTATAGGCTTTTCCTATTTTTTTCTAAATTGTTCTTTTCATTTGTATTTTCAAGAGATGTGCCCCAGCCACTGACTCTTAACAGAATGAAAAGCTGTTTACAAGATTATAATAATAATAATCTTCAAAATAAAATGAAGTGCTGATTTTTCTTTCTTTAGTATACTTGTGAAACTCTGTTTTGTTTAACTTGAAAGTACAAATATATAATTCTAATCTTTATTCCAAAACAGATCATTCAATGTCCCAGCCTATTATGGTACAGAGAAGATCTGGACAGGGTTTTCATGGAAACAGTGAAGTAAATGCAATATTGTCTCCGCGATCAGAAAGTGGAGGCCTTGGCGTGAGCATGGTAGAATATGTACTAAGTTCTTCTCCTGCTGATAAATTGGATTCTCGTTTCAGGAAAGGAACTTTTGTAAGTATTTTGAATAAAGACTTTTTTTTAATATTTGTTTGTTATTTGGTTATATTTTATTTTTAAGTCAGTTTATTTTTCCCTACCTTCTTAAAGTTAAAGGAAATTTTATTAGCTGTTTGGACCCTTGTTTTCTTCACTTGTCTACTTCATGAATCTTAACCATTTTACAAAAATCACGTTAATTTTAAAACATTTTGCACAAATTAAAACTTATTTCTTGATCTGGAAGTAACTAATAATATTGCCTATGCATTAAATATTTTAATCTAATTTGTGGTGTTACTGCTTTTCTAGCACCGCTATAGTTAAGGTTGCCTTAGCCCTTCTGTTATAAATCACTAGTTGTACTCAAATTTTTTGCGTTTGCTAAAATAATTGACTATGAACTTAAAATAAGTTTCAATGCTTTCTCTTGTTTACATGCACGATAGTGTAGTTTTAGGTCACCAAATGGTGCCTTTTTTTGTGTGTTCTATTAAGTATTCAGAATCAAACAGATTCTTTTTCCTCAGGGCACTAGAGATGCTGAAACAGATGGACCTGAGAAAGGAGATCAAAAAGGCAAGGCTTCTCCATTTGAGGAGGACCAAAACAGAGATCTTAAACAAGGAGATGATGATGATTCTAAAATAAATGGCAGAGGTTTGCCAAATGGAATGGATGCCGATTGCAAAGATTTTAAGTAAGATTTTAACTTTTTTGAGAAGAAAGGGTTATCTCTTTTTAAGGATTATTACAATTAGTTGATGTGACTGATTTTGATATTTTTCCAACTTCTGTTGATTTCCTTTGTACCTGGTGTTAATCTGGACAATTATTTTTTCATAAGAAAAAATAGTTAATGATTATGAACAATTAAAAATACATCTTCAAAACATGATCTAAAGCAGTATATTCTATTGAAGGATTAGTATCAGAAGCTGCTGTTAATTTTCTGCTGATATAGTCTAAATTTGAATTTTTTCCTCTGTTAGAATTTAGTGAGACTTGAGAGACTTCAAAAGTTAGCTCTGGGCTGGGGTTGTGGCTCAGTGGTAGAGTGCTTGCCTAGCACATGTGAGGCACTGGGATTGATTCTCAACACTGCATTTATATATAATGTATATTTATGTATATAAATTCTATATGTATATACATATATTTTTATGTGTATATATACACATAAAGTTGTTATATCTATCTACAATATTAAAAAATATTTTTTAAAGTTAGCTTCAAACTCAGAATTCTTAACACTTTTTTAGTGTTCGTTCTCTCTCTCTCTCTCTCTCTCTCTCTCTCGTGCATGGTACTAAGGGTTGAACCCAGGGCCAAATGCTAGGCAAGTGCTCTATCACTGAGCTACATTCCCACCCCTTTTTAAAATTTTGCTTTTGAGACAGGATTTTGCGTATATGCCAAGATTGGCCTTGAACTTGTGATCCTCCTGCCTCAGTTTCCCTACTAGCTGGGATATTATAGGCATGTGCCACCATATCCAGCTGTAGTTGTCTTTAGGCATTTAGTACTTCTTTAACCTTTGACACTAAATTAGACAGTATATCTTTATATCTTAGAGAATTGTTACTTCATACTGATTTCATATACTTTTACACTATAGTAATCAGATATTTTGAAGACTTTACCTGAAAATGAACAGTTCCTTTGTGATCTTGTGAACCATAGAATGCTAGATAACAAGCGTTTAGGTGCACGGTGGGTTGCATTTATTACCTTAAATTACCAAAGCAGAATAACATTACTTCTTAAAAGCAGCAGTGTTTCTATCTGTTCAGAGTGCAAAAAAGCATCCAAAGCCTATAAACCTCTTTAATGCGAAATTTTGTGCTGTTTAAAACCTTTTCATTTTCTGATTTTGCTCTTTTCCTAAGTTTTAGTAAACAGTGTGCACTTAATATTCAGTTAATTATAAACCCTTCAGACTAAACATTTATAATTGAAGTGTTAATACACCACTAACTATAGCAAGAGCACCACTGATATAGTACAATGATTTCTTTTTTTTTTTTTTTTTAAATGCCCTCTGCTTTTGGTATTTGAGTTATTTTGTGTGGAAGTTTTTACTTTTCCCCTTAAAATATTAATACCAAATTTATAAGCATTCAAATTTTATTTTGGATATGTGTTTAAAACCATTAATTAATTTAAATACAATATTAATCATTACTTGGCAATATAAAAAATGTTTCAAAAAATAGCTGTGGCCATCACGATCACTATGTCAGCATGTCATGAATCTGTATGTTAAGTGACATATCGATGTACACATTCCTATAGTAGAACTGAAATGAATGAAAGACCCAAGGAAACTTGTTTTGTTTTGTTTTTTAATTGGCTGGTTTTAAACAAAATCCTTTCTTTTTTTTTTTTTTTTTTTTTTTTTTCTGGTATGGTCCAAATGAAAAAACGAAACTTTGAAATTTTCCCATGCAAGTGGATATGGCTAAAGAGGAAAGGAGTTTAAAATCATCTAATATTGCAAGGACAATGCCTGATTATTAAATAAAATGTATATTCAGTTAACTATCTGGAGAAGAGTTCTTATAGTTGGGTATTGGCTTTGCAAACTGCTCTCTGCATGCTAGCATATTTACGTCATTGTGGAGCACCTGAATTTAGGGACAGAGTTAGATGGACATAACAACTCGCATTAAAAGCCAGGTAAAATACTTATTGCCATTAACTTAATTATATTTATGTTTGAACATACCATGAATGCATGGTTCTCAGAACAGTAAACTGATTCTTTTTTGTAAGTGAAAGGGTTCCTTATAAATATTTATGAAGAAAATACAGACTATAAATGAGGATTAGAAAAAGGTAAGAATAGAATTGAGACTGTGAAGAGTGTTTTTGCAAAGAAACTGATGTTTAATTTGTTTCTAACTTGAATTTCTTGGAGAAAATTAAAGAGGCCATAGTATAGTAGAGAAAGGTTTTGTATTTTTATTTTAAATTTTTTTGTATGATAGGGTTTGAACCCATAGTTTTCTAGCATTAAGCTATATATCCAGCCCTTTTTTGAAACTCAGATTGACTTTGAACTTTCAGACCTCCTGCCACAGCCTCCAGAGTTGCTGGGGTTAACAGGTGTGTACCACCATGCCCAGCAAAAGAGTTTGTAGGGGGATAATGAGGGTTGAACCCAGGGGGCCTTCCAACACTGAGCTACAGCCCCAGTGGTGTTTTTTAGTTTTTTGTTTTTGTCTTTTTTTTTTTTTTTAATTTTGAGACAGTGTCTTGATAAGTTGCTGTGATCTTGAACTTGGAATCCTCCTGCCTCAGACTTCTGAGTCTGTGGGATTATAGGCATGTTCTACTGTGTGCCCTGCCTTAATTTTTGATACATATGTTATACATTTACATTTCTTTCTCGTGATTTAGACTGAAACAATTTGGTATGATAAAGATGGTCTCTGGATACCTGTCATAGAGGACTTTCATAAACAGTTTCTTTTATTCTTGTTATTTGGAACCACCAGGTCCATTATTTATCATCATTTCTCATCATCTTTTTTTGATAGAGAAATGGACTTGAGATATGAAATGATTTACTCAAAAGTCATATTTAAAAGAGTCAAGAGTCAGCCTTTTTGGTCTTCATTTGGTTTCATTTTCTGTTGTCTAGCAAGTTTCACCCTCTTAAGTCATGAAGACCATAATGATCTATGGCCAATTTTTTTTCCTCTAAATAATAGTAAGCAAGATGTTATGACAAAATTACATGCTGGTGGGCAGGATAGCAGAATGATGGATGGATTTTGATTTTGAATTTTCCCACATTTGCTACATAATAGTTTGATTTTCATACCTACCATTCATTTTGTCTGTGATTTGAGGCAAAGGTTTCAGATTGTATTAGCCTAGATCGTAATTCTATGTAGTTTTTCCTACCAGTAAAATTGAGTTGGTCATTAGAATATTGAAATTGAGGAGAGTGATTATTAATAATATAAAAACTACTAAAACCATGTCATCTTTTTTTGGGTGGTGGGCAGTGGGAATAGAACTTTGGGGTGCTCTTATGACTGAGTTACATCCCTAGCCCTCTTTATTTTTTGAAACAAGGTCTTACTACCTTGCTCATGCTGACCTTGAATTTGTGATTCTCTTGCCTTAGCCTCCCAAATAGCTGGGATTATAGAAAATCTCACCATACCTGGCTGAAACCATGTCACCTCAAGTTATATTAGGGGGAAAATGGGAAAGAGTAGAATGTTAGTTGTTAGTTGGAACCACCAGGTCCTTTATTTATCATCATTCCTTATCATCTTTCCTCGATAAGGAAGTGGACCTGAGATATGAAATGATTAGTGACTCAGAATGGCTTATTTGCTTTCATATTTTATAACTATTTGTTTTTCATTATTTTCATTACTTTCTCATTTTACCTTTTGACTTATATTTACACATAATGCTTTTCTTCTTCTTTTTTCCAGTCGTACTCCTGGAAGTCGTCAAGCCTCTCCAACTGAAGTAGTTGAGCGCCTCGGCCCCAATACTAATCCCCCAGAAGGATTGGGTCCTCTTCCTAATCCTACAGCTAATAAGCCACTTGTTGAGGAATTTTCAAATCCTGAAACTCAGAATCTGGATGCCATGGAACAAGTTGGTCTGGATTCCTTACAGTTTGACTATCCTGGTAACCAGGTACCCATGGACTCTTCAGGAGCTACTGTAGGCCTCTTTGAGTACAATTCCCAGCAGCAGGTAAATCATACACCTTCTTTAAGAAAGTCCTTGTAACTGTATACTGGTATATAACCAATGTAGTATGAGGCATTGATATGAATGGTGGAGTTTCTTGAACATTTAATGTTTTATTGATTAAAATGTCCTTGCATTTGAGTGCTTCTGATACGTGTTTAAAATATTTTATTCACAGCGTTCTAATTAGATGTGAAATATTTTGAAATTAATATTTGTATTAAATATTTTTCCTAATAGCTCTTTCAGAGAACTAATGCACTAACAGTTCAGCAGTTAACTGCAGCTCAACAGCAGCAATATGCATTAGCAGCAGCTCAGCAGCCACATATAGGTGAGTCTGTAAATTGCTTTTTTTGACTACAGTGTTAGAAAAATCTTGTTTAAAGTTATTAGACTGTTACTCTTTATTTTCCCATTTAACAATTGGTGCTATTTTGTTTATTTTTGAAACATCCCATCATCCTGTTGAGATCAACAGTAATAGATTATATGGCAAGAGTATTAATTAGAGGAAGAATTATTTCTAGTTTGTTTTTGTTTGGCATTACCATGGATTGAACCCCTGGTGCTCTACCACTGAGCTACATCCCAGCCCTTTTTATTTTATTTTGAGACAGGGTCTCACTAAGTTGCATAGAGCCTTAATAAGTTGCTGATGCTGGCCTTGAACTTGTGATCCTCCTGTCTTAGCCTCTTGAGCTGCTGGAATTATAGGTGCATACCACTGTACCTGGCTTATTTTTAATTTTGAGACAGTACTGAGTTACCCATGCTGGCCTGAAACTTGTGATCTTCCTGCCTCAGACTCCCAAGTATGTGGAATTACCAGTGTGCATCCCCAAGCCCTACTCTGATTATTTTCATCATTGGTTAAATAAAGATCTCAAACTTGATAAAAGTTATCAGTGCTTAAGTGTTGTGTTGTCCTCCTACCCCCACTCCCCATGTGAAGGCTAGAGTTAAATGTGTGGACATTCAAGTGTGGTTATTTGTATTCAGTTTCATGTAAAAGTGTTCATTTTAAAAATTGTTTAGAAATCGGAATTCCAAGAAAATTTCTCAAAATATTTTCTTTCATTAAGTTATATGATCTCTGACCTTTAGATTTGTGAATTATTTATTTGCAACCTACTAGAGTTCAAGCTTGGCACATATTATTGTTTATATTGGGTTTTTTGTTGTTCTCCTTACTCCATCCTCCCATCAAGTACAAATCTTTATTGCTTATTAATACATATAAATCTTGTAACTGCATATAAACCTTGCTAGTAGGGGATTTTCCTTTTTATTTTTAAATAGTTATAAATTCACAGGGAATTTACAAAGAGAGTGCAAAGGATCCCATACTCCTTTGTTTAGTTTCCCTTAATGGTTACATCTTAATTACAGCACAGTATCAAAACCAGTAATGTGACACTGGTACTGTATATAATTTAGTCATTTTATTACATGTGTAGATGTTGTGGAACCATATTTATTTTATCTGACTTTAACTAAACTTCAGTTATTTTCTAGTTAAAGAACTTGTGAATACTCTATCAGAATCTGTGGAAGGAAGGGTAAATAATGCTAAGTTTGTTCTCTTCCCTTAATTTCTTATTGTTTTGTATCAGTGCAATAAGGTTTCCTAGGTCCCACATTTCACTTTTGTTTTTAATCAAAGGTGTCCACATTTGTAGTTGACCTTTAATAGCAACATCCACCCAGGCCTTGTTTTCTTTTGTCTTTTTTCCTAAATTCCTTTTATCCATGTACTTAATCCTTTCTTCTCGTAATGTTAAAAATGTACTGGTTGCTGTATGTTCATGCAACACACAGTTTATATTACTTGAGGCTTTATGATATGTTTTAATGTTGCTCTTTGGAATCTTAAAACTTTTTTTCATCATTTGCCAATTTACCATTGTGGGTTTTTTTTCCCCCCATAACAACTTCAGAATCAACTTATCTACTTATAGAAGATCAGATTAAGTTTTTTTTTAAATTAACTTATGGAAAATTAGTATCCTTATATTAAGTATTCTTATCCAGGGCATAATGTCTCTTTACTTGATTATGCAGGTCTGCTTTGGTGTTCATGAGTGCTTTAAAGTTTGTCATATAAGTTTAAATATTCTTAATATTTTATTTTGCCATCAAATAACCTCCTGTCATTCATTAAACATGCATGAAAGATCTTGAATATCATATTAGATTTAATGAATGGTATTTTCTAAAATTAAATCATGCTTTCATTAAAATAAAAATGACTTGTATGCATTCATTTGTTGTTTTAACTTTCTTTTTCAATTTCTAATATTTAAGATTTTTGCATCATTTGTTTTATTTTTTTTAGTTTTAGTTTTAGGTGAACACAATATCTTTTATTTTATTTTTATGTGGTGCTGAGAATCGAACCCAATGCTTCACGCATGCTAGGCGAGCACGTTACCACTTGAGCCACATCCTCAGCCCCTTTTGCATCATTATTAAAGTGACTTTAGTCTCTATTTTTGCTGGGTTTTTTTAAAGTTTTTGAATCAAAATACTGCTTCATAAAAAGAATTTCTAGAGATATTCTATTTTTTAAAATCATGTAATACATTAAGTAATATTAGACTTACATGACCTTCAAAGATGTGGCAAAAGAACTCTGAAACCATATAGATAATTCAAATGAATTTGAAAACCTGACTGAGATAGAATTATTCTAAGAAAGCATAACTTATCTAAGATGACCACCACATCTTAGTTCCACTGTTAAAAAGGACTGATTGTAAAAATTAATACATTTTATCAAAGTTTGCTCAGTCATGTCTTGGCTGGCTAATGGCTCATTTAGCATTATCCAATAGAAATATAATATGTAGTTTTAGTTATTTAGTAGTCAGATTTTAAAGTCTAAAAATACATAAAATTAATATGAGTTGTTTGTTACTAATGGATTATTTTAACCCATTATATCTATTATCATTTCAAAAAATAATCAGTAGAAAGCTTATAAATGAGAAATTTTGTTTTCTTCATATTAAGTGTTTGAAATCAGGTATGCATTATCCTACTTAGAGCTAATCTCAAGTTACACTACACTTGAAATGCCCAGGGATTATATGGGCTAGTAACTGCCACATTTGTCAGTGCAACTGTAAAGATTATGCTAGGATGGGGGTTGATAAAACTTTTTCATATATTAAGGGGTTGGTAACTATTTTTAGCTCTGTAGGCAATATGATTTCAGTCACAAACTACTACATTGTGCTATTGTAGCATGAAAGTGGCCATAAATGTTTCATGAATGAGTATCATTTATTGGCACTAAAATTCGAATTTCATATACTTTCCTTTTAGCGATTTTTTTCCTCAACCATTTAAATATGTTCAGACTGTTCTTAGCTAATTTGTAAAAGAAGGAAAAAATTAAGGGATTAACAGGGCGCACTTAGCCCATAGAGTGGGCCAAAAGGTGATAATAGATGCAATATATTTTTAAAACAGACATTGACACTCTGCTCATCTGCTTGTGAGCTCAAAGAAAAAGATAAGGTTTTGTAGACAGCTGGGAATTTTTACAACACAGGACATTGAATGAAAACTGATAGCAGTAATTGGCAATAAAGCCTGTGAAGACCTACAAGAGAAATAAACTACCAGGATTAGAGTTTGAGTAATGCTAATTATATAAATTAAGAATCCCAAACTATTAATAGAATGCTTGATTTGGAGGTTAGTTTCTAGGATGTAGTTGAGGCTCTTTTGATACCAAATATGGACAGGTGAATGCAGGAAAAATTCACAAAAGATAGTGTTTCAAACAAAATAATAATAAAAATAAGGAAGGTCGCCTACAACAGTCATGCAACAGAGTTCACACTCGAGGTATAAAAATAAAGGGACTTTAAGTTTTAAAAAGAACTTTGAAAACATTCAGAACATTAAAAAATAAAAGCCTTAAGCTGTCAAACATCCTTAGAGGTCTTCACATCAGAAAATGATGCAAAATGAACCATTTCTGGATCTTGGAAGTAAAAACTATTGGAAAAAAATAGTTCTATGTAGACTGCATAACTACCTGGCTGTTATTATTTAAGACAAAATGAACTAGGAAGTAAAATTTTAAAAATCTTCCAGAACACTGAATCATTGCATAGTAATAAGGATATGAAAATAACAAGCTATAGAGTGAAATAGGGAATAACTAAAGATACATAAGGCATTTGTAAGGAAAACTACAAACTTTTCTAGAACTCTTGAAAAAATGGAGACACAGGCTTTTTGGGGAAAACTCAGCATCATCATTGTAAAAATGTCACGTCTCCCAAAATTGACTCTTATTTTTATTTATTCTAATTTGTTATATATGACAGCAGAATGCAATTCAATTCATATTATACAAATAGAGCACAGTTTTTCATCTCTCTGGTTGTACATTTAATGAATGCTTAGTCAGAATTCCAACAGGATATTTTGTTTGTTTGTTTGAAACTTAGAAATTTGATGTTTGTGTTAGAAAATTAATGGAAAGCTAAAATTTAGGAGCAGGACTTGCTTATTGTTATTTACCGTGATTAAAACAATGTATTAGCCTAAGAATATACAAGTAGTTTAGTGAACAAAAACAATCTTGATTTTGTGTGTATGTGTATATGTGGGTGTGGGTGTTTGTGTGTGTAGAGTATCGTGGTGGCATGAATTTTAATCTGATTTGACATTTCAAATCAATAAATAAAGAATGTTTATTTGGAAAATAGCGTGGTAGGATAATTGAGCCTCATTCCTTTTGGATTGGAAATTTAAATGAGAAAAAAATATTAAAAAAACTTTATTGAGAATCAGAACCACAAATTAAGACAAAATGGTTGCTTTTGTTTATTTTAATGTTTTACTTTACGTATCAGGTTGGAAATTGTTTAAAAAGTTTATTTTGGTCTTATTTTGGCAAGAGTGTGAATGGCATCCTCCAATATTCTTAATAGAAATGTAAATTTGGTACAATTTCCTGGAGGATAGTCTGGAAATGGATTAAGAATTTATGTGTTTTTGCCCATTTAAATGAATTTTCATAAGACTATGATACTATAGAGATCCACATAGTTTAAAAAAAAAACTATTTATAGTAAGAGATTATGAACCATCAAAATGTATTTTTGTAGTAGACTATGTTTCTTCTATACAATAGCATAAATACTTTGTGGCCATTAAATAAATGAGCTAGATATGGTCTATGACTTAAAGATCTATGATTATTTGGCAAGTGGAAAAAGCATATTAAAATATTATAGTCTACAATATCAAATGTTAAAAATTGAGAAGGGTATAAGCCAATTATTTTCTAATTGATAGATTCCAATAGTAATTTTAATGTTTTAAAATAATGTTTTTTTATGGTAAACCATAGAATATTTTTCCATCAAGGATGGCCTAGCTTGTAGAATTTTTTTTAGTATTAGTTTTTACTAATATAGAATTCTCTATTCTTATGATAAAGAAATTCCTGACAGATGAGAATAAGAATATGACTGAGCAAATGAAGGGGATTTTACTGAGCCCACACTATAATTTTTAATTCCTTTATAAAACAGATCTTGAAAATGGCTGTTTGTACTTGTACATGAAGTCACTATTGTGGGTTGTGGCCTATATTTTTAAAAAAATCAAACAGATAATGTGGAAAGTAATAAATTAAGAGCTGCACAATATAGAGTATTGGAATTGCAAAAGGTAATTTTTGTGGGTGTTGGGAATTGTACCCTCGGCCTTCCGTGTGCTAGGCAAGCAAGCACTTTACCGCTGAGTCTCATCTTCAATCCCAGTAAAATCTTTTCTGCTGGACTTGTTTGTGGCATTATTCGCTATGTATAAGTTGATCTTAAATGTATTTTGTATTGTGGATCATAGTCGGACACTTTGAAAGCTAATAAGGTTTTAAAGTAGTTTCAGAATCTTGATTTTTTTTTTTAAGGCCTAGATAAGATATATTTTACATTTTTTTCCCCTTTGGGTAAAATTAGTTTACATTCATCTACTTATACCTATAATCCCCCATTATCTTTTAAACTTGGACAAACTTGATCTCCTTAAGCTTTAAATACATCCTTATTCACTATTCCCTTACTATTCACTTATCTCAGTTACTTTCCAGAAGAGAAAACCCTGACAACACATTTTCAAAGAATTTAAAAGTTCTGTAGGGTAGTAGGACATAGTAAGTGTTTAAAGCTAAAACTACTACTGTTCAGTAGTAGTTTCTCATTCAGTCTTTAGTAAGCTATACTGTGGCTTAGGAATTCAACACAAGGAAGGAGGATTCGATCTGTCCTGACAAAGCACTCTATCCATCAATAAAAGTCAATTACCAATTAGAAAACAGTATAGAAAGTCCTATGGACATAGAGAGGAGGGATATTAAATTTGGGAAAGGGTTGATGGGATGAATGAGCTGTAGAATAAAATGAAATAAAACTGGTGTTATAACCAGAATGAAGTCTGCCAAACTTCCTGATTCATACTAAGTGGTTTTGACTTTGTCCTCAAGTTAATAGGGAAATAAAGAAGAGTTTTTTTTTTTTTTTTTTAAGTGACTTTAAGTTCACTTTTATATTTAGTAAAGGCTAAAAACAAACAAGCAAAAAAATGTGAACATACACTTGTAGTACTCCTGGGTATTCCAAGGAGTGGAATTAATTCTCACAAAAAATCATACAGGGTAACTGAAGGTATACCGGCATCTTAAACAAAAAACTTTAGAATCAGTTACTGTTACATACCCAGGGTCACTTAGTAAAAAATTGAACCATTATATTGCTGCTTTGCTTCCCCCTCCCAGATTCAGAATAGAAATGTTTTTACTTAATGAAGAGAATATACTTTGCATTTTTATTCATTATTTCTCCTCCTTTTAAATGTAGCTGGTGTGTTCTCAGCAGGCCTTGCTCCAGCTGCATTTGTGCCAAATCCATATATTATTAGTGCTGCTCCTCCGGGGACCGATCCATATACTGCAGCAGGATTGGCTGCAGCAGCAACATTAGCAGGTAATTTATTGTTCATCTTTGTTGTTTGTTATGAATTTAGTTTTAATTTTGGATTAAGCTTTATTTTTATCTATTTTGGCAATTTGCAATTCCTAAGAAAAACTGAAACATCCAGAATGGATTGAAATTTTCAGTGAGTTTTTTGTTTTTGTTTTTAATTTTTTTTATATATATGTTGATGGACCTTTATTTTTTTTATTCATTTATTTGTATGCTGTGCTGAGAATCGAACCCAGTGCCTCTCACATGCTAGGCAAGCTCTCTACCACTGAGCCACAGCTTCAGCCCCTCTGGGAGTTTATTTTTATTCAATTGTAATGTCATGGAAAGTCCTAAGCAATAACCCTTTTATTTTTCTTTCCTTTATGTAGTTGTTTTGCATTTTCATTTTTTAATTTTAGAAATCTTCCATTGTTGATTGTGCATCTCCATTTTAATACCTACAGAGACAATGGAAAGTAACGTTTTAGAGGTAGGTAGTGTGAATATCCGAGTCAGGGGTAGTATAAGATCTTTAGAAGTCTTGAAAGAATATAGATCTTAAAGTTTCTTGAGTAATGTTAAAATGTGCAAGCCAGCTGGGAAAAAAGTGTCGGACAGAGCTGGGAGCTGTGGCGCACAACTGTAATTCCAACAACTTGGCAAGACCCTATCTTAAAATTTAAAAAAAAATCTTTTTTAAAGGTTGGGGGTATAGCTTGATGGTAAAGCACCTCTCTGGGTTCAGTTCCCAGTACCAGAAGGAAGGGGAAAAGGTAGGATGGAGTTGAAAAGAACTTCCTGAAAATTTTCAAAGCCCAAGATTACCACTCAAAATCTGACATAAATTTATTGATTGACTGTATATCTTCTGAGAAGTGTCTGTTCAGTTCCTTGGCCCATTTATTGATTGGGTCATTTGTTGTTTTGGTGTTAAAATTTTTGAGTTCTTTATTCTAGAGATTATTTATTCTAGAGATTAGTGCTCTGTCTGACATGCGTGTGGTAAGAATTTGTTCCCAATTAGTAGGCTGATTGTTGCTTTTGCTGAGAAGAAGCTTTTTAGTTTAAATCCATCCCATTTATTGATTCTTGTTATTAATTCTTGTGCTGTAAAAGTTTTATTAATGAATTTGGGGACTAATCCGACATGATGGAGATTTGGGCCTACTTTTTCTTCTAATAGACGCAGTGTCTCTGGTTTAATTTCTAGGTCCTTGTTCCACTTAAGTTTTATGCATGGTGAGAGATAGGGGTTTAATTTAATTACCCTAAGTACATGTATAAAGACACGAAGGATGTGACTCTACTTTGTGTACAACCAGAGATATGAAAAATTGTGCTCTATGCGTAATGTAAAATTGTAGTGCATTCTGTTGTCATATATAACAAATTAAAATTTAAAAAATTTTAAAAACCTGACATGAAAACTAGTGTACTGAGGATGGGGATACAATTGGTAGAGTGCTTGCCTCACGTGCACAAGGGCCCTGGGTTCAATCCTTAGCGCATGCACATACACACACACATACACACCCCTAATGTATTTGTTGCTTATTTCAGTGAGGAAGAGTTGTGAGGTGCTCAGACACAGTCTTAGTGAGCAGTGCTATTTGTGATTTTAAGTAAGGTTGTTGGGAAATGTTTGTTTTAGGTTAAAATGACTACAAAGACAGAAATGAGTTAGGCATGGTTTACGTTGTTTTTAAAGGCAAGAATGGGTTGCTGTTGGCCTTAGAAATGTGTTTGTTGGAATGAGTCTGCTGATGGGCTATATTCTAAAACTTGAGACTGGGGCTATTTTTTTTTTTTTTTTTTGGCTTTCAAAGATATCATCTCTGAAGTGATTATCACTTATCAACCTGATGTTTTTAATATAATACCAGGTATTTATTTATTTGTTATCATGCCTGTTGAACAGTCTACTTTTCCTGGGATGTTGAACTTTCAAACTCAAGATCTTTTTTAAAAAGTGAGCGAAATATATTAATTTCAAAATCTTGCTCGATACTTAACTAGTAGACTAAAACTTCTCATAGTCAGTGACTTTGGTGTAGAAATATATATCAGTTCAATAATGTGAGCTTTTCTAGTGCCGTTTAACTGGATATTAGTACATAAAGTGCTGGTATAATGCCATACAGAAAACCATTTACTTATGGAACTGAAAGTAACAACTTTAAGAGGTCATTTAGTTTGGGAATAGGCATACTACACATTCTGGACTCAGGCAGCAGTGCTATACAATGAAATGCAGTGTAAGCCAGAAAATGAACTTTAAAATTTTCTGGTAGCCACACTGTAAAAGTACAGAATAGGTGAAATTTATCTCAGTAATACATTTGATTTAGGTCAATAGATCTGAGATATATTTGAGCATATAATGAATATTTTTTAATAATAGATTTTTTTTCATGCTGTCTTCAAAATCCTGTGTAAGTTTATACTCTTAAAGCTCATCTTAGTTGCTCTTTTCTGTCTTTAAAATGTTCAGTACCCACAAGTGGCTTCTGGCCATGTTAGCGAGTGAGGATCTAGGTAGATGTGTGACTCTATTGTTTTTACAATGTGTACTTTTTTTTCTTAGGAGTTTGAGGATTTTGAAACTTAAGATTTTTTTTTTTTTAATGTTTTAATACTCCATGCTATAGGTTGTGTTCTTTAGAAATACTTTTTGCATTTAAGTTTACATAATTTTTCATTTTAGTTATTTGGTCAGTACTATTTGGCTTCATTTTCTTCTATAACAAAGGGAAACTGAGAGTTTGACTTTTTAATATATACAAAGCAAATGTTCTAAATTTTGACTAATAAAATTTTAGAGTGTTGTATAAATTAGAAATCATGATATTTTATTCATTTTAATGATATCTTTGAAAGCCCAAAAAATTCATTATTATGCATATAATTAATTCTGTTCGCTCTTCACAAATCAAATATCTTGAACAAAGTACTAGAACAGGAACAATTTCTTTTGTATTTTCTAATTTGCTTTCTTACCTCAGGTTTTCTCTGAGCTTGTATCTAGTTTTTGTCTTGACTCACTAGTCTCATTTTTCTAACTACATAAACACGGATGTCTCATTTGTTTTCACATAATTTGCTATTGCTTTGTGAGAATTTTGGCTAATTCTGTTTCAAATATGAAAATATTTTAAATTGAATGCTTGCAATTCAGATACTTTTGTAGCAAGCTTGGTACCCAAATATACCCTAGTTTTATGTTATATTTGGAAAAGCAAAAGGCGGGGGAATGTAATTCATTTCAGTTATCAGAAAGTATTCTTTTTCAGAGAAGTAACAAATTGACCATAAGAAATTCTAACAAGTTTTGTTGTCCAATGTTCCCTGAATGTGTTATCTGTGTTCGTCTGTATCAGGCCATAATGGCAGTATGTATATGTTGAATATAAGACTAAGTGTCCTGTCAGTTTATTGGTAGTATTTAGCTGTGCTTCACATATCTCCATTAAAACCATAGCTGTCATTCTTGAATACTTTCCTCTCTTAATAATCCGAACCTGAATGATATTTGCTTCTTAATAGAATCAGAAAAAAGAGAAAGGATATAGCTCATGTAAGTGGGTAGAAGAGTCTAAGGACATGTTCTGCTCTTAAGTTTTATACCTGTCCCCTTTTGTAATCCAGTGGTAATATAAAATCTAGTTGTTGGGTTTTTTTGTTGTTTTGTTTGGATGGGGTTTAGGTCCAGCCGTGGTTCCACCTCAGTATTATGGTGTTCCATGGGGGGTGTATCCAGCCAACTTATTTCAGCAACAAGCTGCAGCTGCAGCAAACAATACAGCCAATCAGCAAGCAGCCTCACAAGCTCAGCCTGGACAGCAACAGGTAAGCCTTCCTTCATTAAATAATATCTGAGAATTCTTTGGTGTTAAAGGTGTTTTTTCCTCTCTCTCTCTTTTTTCCTCTGTGAAACATAGTAGCTGTCGTATAGTTGGTATACAACTATTTGTTGCATATTTTTCTGATTAGTATTATATGAATTCAAAGAGTTGGTTATATTTTATTTCTGTTATTAAAATAGCAATTTTTAAGTTTCATCACTTAAAAGTGCAGTAATAATGTTACTATCAAAATAATTACACCTTCATTTTTATCCAGGTATTTAAATTACAAGTTTAAATATTAGTATGTTTCCAATGTAAAATTAGATTATTAGGTACATTATTATTATTTTCCCCCCACCATACCGGGGATTGAACCCATGGATGTTCTACCACTATATCCTTAGCCCTTTTTTTTTTTTTCTTTTGTAGTTGTAGATGGACAGAATGAATGCCTTTATTTTATTTGTAAATAGCAAGCCCTTTGCCACTGAGCTATAGCCCCAGCCCCTCCTATCCCTTTTTATTGTGAGATAGTTTTGCTAATAAGTATCACTGGCTGGCCTCAAATTGCTATCTTTCTGCCTCATCCTTAATTTCTTAAAACAGAAAGAAAATGTTTATCATGAGGTTTTTTTATATCATCCCCTTTCTTAGATAAATGCAAACAAACTATTTGGTAAATATCACAATTCTGACTGTTAACATTCATCATATTTGTATCAAAGAAGCAACTTAATACAATGGCATTGCTTACTTGACTGTTAGTTTTTTATTCGGAATTTTCTTTACTATATTTTAATACTGTATTGATGCTCTGTTGGGTTAGTCCTTGTACATCATATCACAGCATTATTTAATACATTATTTTTAACCTGTCATTACTTATTAACACACCTGTGTGTATTGCTGACGAATGTGGTAAATTTACAGTGAATCTACTTATCTACTCCGTCCTGAATTGTTTGTGAACTTTATGATTAAGCTCATCATGCTTGTATATCAGCACTAAAACAGCTGTGCGCAGCAAAGTAGTAAAACTTGACCTGCCTCCAGAACTTTTCACTTTGTTTTGATGTTATCTTGGTGGGTTTTTTTTTTTTTCACTTAAGTTTTAACTTATGTTTAAAAAGCAGCTGTTAGTTTTTTGTTTTGTTTTGTTTGTGAATTTTGAAAACTTGATTTGAATTTTTTGCTCTGTATCATAATCTCATAACAGATCATCAGAGTTTCAAATATCCATATCTCCCCCCCACCACCACCTTGGTAAGAATATTGATATTAGAAACAATTTTTACCCTCAGACTTTCTAGAACCTCCATGTTGCTTTATTGATTGTTAAAGTTGTCAAGAGCCAGTGATATTTTTTATGTGAAGTATTGTGTAATTTTCATGCTAAATATAAATTTCATTGTATGAAATGTGTTCGCATAATTGTCTATGGTAAATTTTTACTATATGATAATGCTTTAAAGAAAGCCATCTGTCCTTTATAGGTTCTTCGTGCTGGAGCAGGCCAGCGTCCTCTTACTCCCAATCAGGGTCAGCAAGGGCAGCAAGCAGAATCACTTGCAGCAGCTGCAAATCCAGCTTTGGCATTTGGTCAGGGTCTTGCTACAGGCATGCCAGGTATATAATTGGTTAATTGTAGTTTTTTGTTTTTTTGTTTTTTTTTTTTTTGCAGGGTGCTGGAATTTGTAGATATTTGAATAGATTTAAAATAATATTTGTGGTCTGTCCATCCTGAAGAGTGAATAAATCAGAAGTGTCTTTGAAGTCTTACCTACCTTCTAAAAGATTATTTAGAACTCACATGCTAATAGTTGAAATCAATACTGAGGTCATGAGACTCAGTGACTTGAATAGCAGATATGTATATCAAATTCTTTTTCTCTGTAACATGAACCACAGCATCTTTTCAACTGAACCTAGCCCAGAATTTTTGGTATAATGCTTAGAAATTAAAACCAGTTGGTTAGAGTTGGCATATGAGACAAAAAATCTATTTGCCATTCCTACCTTGTGGGAATAGTCATTTAATTGGTCAATATTGAAAAGTTTGCAACTAATATTTCTAATTTCAGCGTTGTCCGATCATGTTTAACCTATTTATACCCATTTAAACTATTGTTATTTATAATCTGATAGCAACATTGTCTCTAATATGCTTATGAAGACCTAATGTATAGAAAATCACACTATAAAATTTCTGTCTATTGCCGCTGTACAACTTTTCTAAAAGGGCAATTAGAATGGTTTGTTTTTGATGAAACTAGATAGATAGATTACTGTAATAATAGTGGAGGAAGGAAATGTTTTCTTTAGACCAAAATGCATAATCAGGATGTTTTGTTAATACTGTGGTTAATTTGGGGGGGGGATCCTGGGGATTGTACCCCTTGTTTTATTGGGGGGGTTGTTTGTTTTTTAGTTGCTACAGGTCAGGGGCTCATTCACTATTATTAAGGTACATCTCCAACCCTATTATTAGTTGTAAAGGTAAAATTTAAAGGCCACATTTGAATATCAGTAAGTGTGCTAATTTTCACTTTTGACATATGAGTGGTTACTTCTGTGTTAGGGATTACTTATTAATGAAATGTGGATTCCAATTTCCATTAATTGTAAGATTATGACATTTTCTATTCAGATCATTTAGAAAATGTGTTCAGTGTGTTGGAAAAGATCTTTAATAACATCAAAAGTTTCTTTTATGCAGACACATATTTCTATGTGTTATTTTAAGGATGTATATAGTAATTTGCATTTATTCTGTTCTCTAATTCTAAGGTCTGAGTCTAACATCTCGTCTAGTTCTCTGGATAAAAGATAGTTTCATACTTTTATCCCTGAAGTACCAATAATAGTAGACTAGGGGGTATTCTTGAATTTTATTCTTTTACCACAGCTATACATATTTCCTTCCTGGGAAGCTACTGTTGTGGAGCCGTTGTAGATTAGAAACCTTGGCATATGCAACCTATTGGGAAATGGACTGTGAAGCTGACATTATTATAGGCATCTGGAGTCAGGGTTTAAAAGAAGTGAGTCAGGAGTTTTTGAAAGCTATTAAAACTAAGACTACTATGGTTCTTCTTAGATTTTAACTACCCATAGATAGGGGAGTCATGGAGAACAATAGAGCTTCCTGTCTAACTAGGTTCTCAGTGGATCCTGGAATTCAGAACATGCTTCTGTCCTATGTATATTTGCTGCTGCCTGTAAACTATTACTAATCATTCTAGGTTCTTGATGCTGGTCCTATATTTATTTCTTATAAATGTCTTTGTTCTTTTTTCTTCATATTCAGCTAGCTGATAGTCTTTATTTCTTTTCTTTTTTTAAAATTTTTATTAGTTATTGATGGATCTTTATTTGTATACATATGGTGCTGAGAATCGAACCAAGTGCCTCACACATGCTAGGCAAGCTCTTTACCCCTGAGCCATAACCCCAGCTCCAATCTTATTTCTTCTCTTATTTATTTATTTATCTTATTATTTCTTATTTACTTATTATTTCTGTTATATTTTATCAACTTTAATCTTAGAATTTATTTTTATATTCACTTTTATTCTTTCTATTCTATGAGAAACCTCTTTATTGTTAACTTTTCTTTTGGTAGTGTGAGGATCAAACCCAGTGTTTCATTCATGCTGGACAAAAGCTATATTCTCAGCCTCTGCTTTATTTTTTGTTTTTGTTTTGTTTTGTTCCACAGTGAACTCTGTTGTAATTCTAGAAGAAAACATTCTTTTAATACTGTTATCTTTTTGGAGTAGTGATAAAAGTTGGTAAAACTTGTAGGATATGTCTTTACAGTAAATTATTTTACTTAACCTTTTGGCCTACCACATTTAGCCTTTTTAGAAATAAGAATATAAAAGTCATGAGAAACCTTACTAGATTTAGTGTTTGTATGTCTCAGTACCTTATGGGCTGTTCACATGATTCCCACACTCAAAGCCTTTCTTTAATGCCTTCTATATTTCCATTCTGCATGAAGTATCTCCAGCTTTCCATATTCATCTACACAGTATAAAGCTATTAAAAAGAGCTCACTTGAGAAAATTGATATTTCTTCAAGTCTTATTCTTAACTCTTCTACCTTCTATCTTTTGCATTTATCTTTCACATTCTGATCATTGTCTTCTATTTAATCTTTCTGCTTAATTGTTTGTGCCATCTGTATTATCCCTCTTTGATCTCTTCTTCCCTTTCCTTACCACTCATACAATCACAGTTACAAAAGGATAATACAATGGAAATTAGAAACTTTTGAACTGAATTACAGTAAATTATTAAAATTTAAACTTGTGGAGTGCAACTGAAACTACATAAAAGGGAAATGTCTAGATTTAAAGCATATGTCAGACTAGAAATCAGTGAACTGTGTATCCATTAGAAAACTAAAAAGAGGAGAATAAAGCCAAAGAACATAAAGAAGAGCATAATAAAGAGATGCTGATGTGAATGAAATAGCACACATGCAATCAAAAGGATCAATTATCTCAAAACTATTTCTTTCAAAAGACTCAGAGTTGTAAGCCTCTGAACGGCTCATCAAAAAGAAGGCTTGGGGATATAGTTCAGTTGTGGACTGAGCTATATCTTACAGGGAGCTGCTGGGTTCAGTCTTCAGTACTTGGGTAAGGGGGCGGTGGGATGGCAGAAGCCATAAGTAACTAGTGTCAGGAAGATTAAATAATCATAAGATACTAGGCAGAATCTCATTAATAAATTACAAAAATGTAGACTGGGTAAATGCCTTGTGTTTCCCATCTCCACTGCATAGTAAGTAGCAACTCCATTGTTTTAAAACTTAGGCCAAACATAGGAAGAACAGTTCATTCCTTTTTTTCCTAACACTGCAAGTCTAGTCTCATATCTAGCTGCTGGGTCTCACAATCTAACTCTTCCCTCTTCTCTAATCTGGTCACCATTACATCTCTCACCTGGATTAGCTTTCTGTCCAGGTTCTCCTATTTCATATTGTCCCCTGATCAGTCATTTTGATTAATCATCTTCTATCACTCTGTTTCAGCCATACTGGCTTATTTTCTCTCTTCTCCAATTTTTCTTCATAAATAATTTTGTTATAGAGGTTCTTCTTTACCCCCAGTTTAAAATTATCAGAACTTCTATGACTACTCAGTACTTCGTTTCCACTCTCCCTATCTGATTTTCTGTAATACTTAACATACTCTTTTGACTTTTTTTTTTTTTGGTCTGTTTGCAGTAGAAAGTAATATCAAGAGTAAAGACATTTCTCTTTATTGTTCCTTGCTATATCCCAATACTCAGAAGACTCCCTGGCATTTGGTAGCTACTTGATAAATATTTTGCAAGTGAATGGATGTATAAACAATAAATTAAGCTAAGTTGGGAATGGGAGAGGGAAAGACAACATCTTAAAGTCATTATATAGCGATACTTATATACTCATGATCATAGCCGCACAGTTCACAGTAGCCAAACTGTGGAGTCAGCCTAGGTCTCCACAATCAACAGATGAATGGATAAAGAAAATGTTACCGGTATATGTACACAGTGGAGTCTTATTCAGCCATAAAGAAAAATGAAATTTTCATTTGCAGGAAAATGGATGCAACTGTAGAACATTGTGTTAAGCAAAATAAGCCAGACTCAGAAGGTCGAGGGGCATATTGTTTTCTCTCATTTGGAAGCTAGATAGGGAAAAGGGGGAAGAAAAAAGGTGGGGGCAGGGTGTCATGAAAATCGAAGGAAAATCAGTAGAGGAAAGGGAACAGGGAGAGGGAGAAGAGGGAAAGTACTAGGGAATGATATTGGCCAGATTATATTGTTATAACATAACATCAGATCCCACCATTATTTTCAACTCTAAAGCACCAATTAAAAATATGGGGGGGGGGCGATCACTCTGGAGAATGGGGGATAGAATTGGGGCAAAAGAGCATGAATAGACCACATAGATCTAGTTGTATAGAGTAGTGGCAATTAGGAGAATGAATGGGTTTGAGAAAGATTGAGGAGGTCAAATAAACTGTCTTAGGGACTACAGGCAAATTCCTTTGTTTGGGAATTTATACTACCTTGTTAAGTATGATTTATATGCTGTTTAATTTTTCAGTAGATTATTTGCAGTCAAATGTTCGTATGGATTAACTTTTATTTTTTAATTAGGATTTAATAAACAATGATATTTTTGAACAGAAGTTATTTTCTGTATGTCGTGAATTTAGGACTAGGACACGTGTACCCCTTAAAACTATCAATTGGCATCTACAGTGTGAGATTACTAGTAATGTGGATATTTTATTAGCATTGTGCTAATGCTTTATACTTGGTCAGAATTGCTGTATTTACTTAAAATGCATATGAAAATGTCAACCTTAGTGCAGTGTTTATCCCAGCACAGTTTATTATTATTGAATTGAATTTATCCCACTGTGTTTGAATACATTTTCATACTGCCTTATAACTATAATTTTACAGTGACTTGCTTCAGCATAGTGTTCACAAAATAAAATTCAAGAATTGGTGTTAGAGTATAATTGAGTATATTCTGTTTTTGAAAACTTTTATTAGAAATTGCCAATACATTCTCACAAATACTTGTCAGACAGGTGTGAATTATTATTACTGTGTAAGGCGCCCTTTTTCAACCTGAATTCCAGGAGAGAAATAAGCTTTATTCCCCATAAAGTAGCCATCATTATTTATAGCTCCTCTAGAGCTCTACTTGTAGTGTACTTACAAAATAGTTACTTGAATAATCTTGGGTTCAGAGGAGGGATTTCTGTGAGAAGGGCTGCTAGGAGGTAAAATTGACTCTCCTGTAGTTCTGAATAATAATTGTTACCTGCCTTGTGCTCAAGCCTACAACAGAACTAATACATGTATGATTTTATTCAAACTTCAGTTGAGAACCTTTACATATAGACTTATGATGAGGGGGTACTGGGGATTGAACTCTGGGGCACTCGACCACTGAGCCATGTCCCCAGCCCTATTTTGTGTTTTATTTAGAGACGGTCTCACTGAGTCGCTTAGTGCCTCGTTTTTTTCCTGAGATTGGCTTGAACTTGCAATACTCCTGCCTCAGCCTCCCAAGCTGCTGGGATTACAGGTGTGCACCACTGTGCCCGCTAACAATTACGATTTTTAAGGTATCTTGTCAGTTTGTATTTTAGGTTTTTGGAGAGATGCTTACAAATGAAAATCTAAGGGAATGTTCGCAGTGAGGAACTTAGTTTAGAACTTTTCTGAAATTTCATAATAAACATTTTTATAGTGTTCCTCTACTCTTCCTACCTATGCTATCACAAGTGACTAAATGGTTATATTTTTCTACTGTCAACCCTTGATAGCCTATAGTTTCTGTATTAAGGAAAATAATTCTTTTTGTGGTTCATAAGTGAAAGGCATTTTTGCTGAAGGTAGCTCTTAAAAATTTAGAGAAAAAAGGTTTAATTACATTCTAGTAATTTTCTTTAGTAACACCTTCTTAAATGTGTTGTTTTTCGTATGGTAGGTATTTAAGGGTTTTATACTGATAATACAAAATAGCTGTTGTGGTTGACAAAAAAACAGAAATGCAGGGGAAAATAAACGTATGTTTTCTATAGTAAGTGTTTTTATTAGTAAACATTTACTTTATGTTATCTAGGTTATCAAGTACTAGCTCCAACTGCCTATTATGATCAGACCGGTGCCTTAGTGGTTGGCCCTGGAGCAAGAACTGGCCTTGGAGCTCCAGTTCGATTAATGGCTCCAACACCTGTTTTAATTAGTTCAGCAGCAGCACAGGCTGGTAAGTATAACTAACATCTTGAAGGATAATCGTTTTCTGGTTGTCTGAGATATGATTTTTTAAAATAAAGAATGATTTTCTAAGTAGTTTTTTGGAAATTTGTTTTACATCAGCAGCAGCAGCAGCAGCTGGAGGAACTGCAAACAGTCTTACAGGCAGTACAAATGGTCTGTTTCGGCCAATTGGCACACAGCCACCTCAGCAGCAGCAGCAGCAGCAGCCAAGCACTAATCTGCAGTCTAATTCATTTTACGGGAGCAGTTCTTTGACTAATAGCTCCCAGAGCAGTTCTTTGTTTTCTCATGGACCTGGTCAACCTGGAAGTACATCTCTTGGATTTGGAAGTGGTAGTTCTTTGGGTGCTGCTATAGGCTCAGCTCTCAGTGGATTTGGTTCATCAGGTAAGTTTGTAAGTTGAGTTTGCTCTGCTAAGTAGACATGAGGTATTTGTGTTTTTAATATTAAGATAAGCAATAATAGCATATAGTATAGGAAGGACACAAAGTATTTGATTATTGATTTGATTTTATAAAAGAAAAATGTCTGCTGCACGGCTTTTAAATGCCATGAGTGTTTAGCTCATTTCTAGCAGCACATCCTTCATTCAAATATAATACATTTCCTTTTCCCACAGCTTTAAGAATTTATTAGTGTATTTTTCATTTTAGTAAGGTTTGTTTCAAATGGTGTTACATGCTAATTATTACTCTTCCTTATTCTCCATGTAATGTTAATATTTGAGGAAATACTTTACCATCTTAAAATTTGAGTTATAAAAATAATAATTGTGTGTTTATGAAATGATTCCTTCTAAATGCTTGAGATTCATGTGGTTTACTTTATTTGGCATAATGCCTAAAATATATTTGATATAGTGAAACATTCTAAATAAGCCCCTAGAAAGTTAACAGTGAGCTGGGCATGGTGGTACACATTTGTAATCCCAGCTACTTGGGAGACGGAGGCCAGCCTAAGCAACTTTGGGAGACCCTATCTCAAATTTTTGCAAAAGGAATGGGGATGTAGCTCAGGGATATATGCCCCACTTCTGCAAAAGAAAAGAATCAAGCAAACTACCAGTGTACTTACCTTTATTTTAAATTAAAAGTTAGCATTTGTCACTAAATATTTATTTATTTAAAACTGTATCTTTTGGCTTTAAATAACGCTCAAGAAATTATAATTTTAAATGTCTTCACATAAGGAAAAAACAGTTTACCCTTAAAATTGACAGCCTTCACAAGGCAGAGAGATTAAATTTGGACCTTCAGGGGCTGGGGATGTGGCTCAAGTGGTAGCGCGCTCGCCTGGCATGCGTGCGGCCCGGGTTCGATCCTCAGCACCACATACAAACAAAGATGTTGTGTCCACCGAAAAATAAATAAATAAATATTTAAAAAAAATAAATTTGGACCTTCAAAGATTTTCTATTTCTGTAACATCATGTCGTAGAATTTTTTTATTTTTTTTGTACTGAGGATTGAACCCAGGTAAAGGGGCACTTTACCACTGGGCTACATTCCAAGCTCCCCTCCCCTTTTAAAAATACCTTTATTTATTTATTTTTATGTGGTGCTGAGAATTGAACCTAGTGCCCCACTTATGCTAGGCAAGCGCTCTACTGCTGAGCTACAACCACATGTCCTAGAATCTTTAATATCTATTTCTTATCTGTATTCCTACCACATCAAATTTACATTGTTCTCTGGTGTGGAAAATGACAAACTATAATGTCAGTCATCAGATGCTTGAGGAAGTGTCTTCTGAGCTCTTTTATCTTTCATATTTACAGGAGAGGTGGCCTAGAACATCTGTAAACTTATAGGTACAGAATGCTTACTCTCTAATAATAAAACATTAAGGAAATATGGTCATACTTGGCCTGACAAAAAATTTTCTAAAGAATGGGCATAAGAACTTGGAGGCTCATTGTTCTTTTAATTTTTCTACTTTTTTGTTCCTTTTGGAGTTTAGCAGTACAGCTTGAACATTCCTATAAAACTCATTGTAACACAATTGATATGTTTTCCCCAAAGAATTCTAAATATTCTGATGAAAACGGAAAGAACATATAACTTCAATAAATAAATAAATAAACTTTGTGGAAATAACTATTTCCTAAACTTGAGTTTGTTGAACCAAAATAGTCCAGGGGGTAAAGCGCTGTTAAAAGCTCTGTTCCCTTTCTTATTAGTATGTCACTGATGGTCTGGTATAGGTTTGAAGGTCCCCCTATTCAATTTTTCCTCTATGTTTTGGAACTGTTTGGCATGAACATTTTGTCCCCTTCAGTTGCCTCTTTTCCAAAAACTTAACTTTCATGCCTTCCTTATTTGTAAGCATTGCTTACTCAGTTCCAGTGTCCAGGTCCCGAAAGATGCATTGTATCTTGTTTGAAGAGGGCTTAAGCAGTTGCCACCCCTAACAGTCACTTAGTATGCTGTGTATCATCTTCTCCTTTCTCTTGGATTTTTTTCTGAGAGTTCATTTAAGTGCTGCACATATGTCCCCTTATGATAAGTCCACTGCCATTTCACATTGCAGCAATTGTAAATTTACTTTTTGAAAGCTAAAATATAATAAAGTTGTGTGCATATGTACACACACAATCATTTTTTTACCTATATGATGAAATATTGTTGAACAGTGTTCCCAAGTTTGTAATATAATTGACCAGGAAGCTTAGCCATTCTAATATATGAATTAAAGCATCATCCTGTGACCTTTATTTTTAAATTACTATTAATAATCAAAAGTTTGTAATTTAATGTCTTATACATAGTTAATGAATGATTAAAATTTCCATCATCTGTCTAACCTTAGATATTTTAGGTAGATTTTGTTTCTTATGTAATGAAGTTGCAGATATTTTAGACATAATAAAACCTGAAGAGCCAATTTTTTAATGTTTAAAGTAATTTTCAAATTATTTTTTGAATGCTTGGTTTGACTTTTCCCTTCTGGAAGAAAGAAATACTGCACATGTCAAACTGGTTTCTTTCGTTAGTTGCCAGAGGAATGATAATGCTGATGCTCTCATTAGAGAGCTGATATCTTTTTCCTCATCAGTTAAATTATTTTTTGAAATAAATAGGAATTTAAAATATAGTATTTAATACAAATGTTTTTGAAAAATTGCTTTGACAGTGTCCTTTTAAATTAGCATAGTTAATGTATCATACATTGCCAATTTTGTCAAAACCAACTCCAGAAAAGCTATATTAAAGCACGATCTGTTTTGCAGAGACTGCATTAGCTGATATAAAAGGTTGAATAGCATTATATTCTTGTGCCTAATATGGTAGGTAGCACAAGCCTGGTTTTTTGTTGTTGTTGTTTTGGGTTTTGTTTTTTTGTTTTGTTTTGTTTTTTCCTTTGTCCATTGTAGAATTTTAAATTTGGCAAAACCAATGTAATTTTGGTTCCTATCTATGTTATAAACTTTAACTTGGTTTACCCATCATGTACTCGGCTAATTGTTTTCTTTAATTCATAGTCTGAATGACATATATGACTTGTGATTAGAAATCCAAGATTTAATAGAAACTTACAATTCCTTGAAAAGAATTGCCATATTGGTCCGAATATAGAGCTTGTCCTTCAGAACCTTATTTGGCAGGTTAAGAAGTATAATAAGAAATTCTTTAGATGTAAAAGACATTGAGTTAAAAGAAGCGAGTGCATAGAAAGAGGAAGGAAGGTATACTTAAATAATGGACTCTAAAGAGAACTTGAAAATTGGAAGTTTGGAACAGCCCTCAAACACACCTGCTAAAGAAATTGACTATCAAATATATGTTGATTAACAGTCAGATTTGGGGTTGATCTTCTGAGTGTGCATAGCTTACCAACCGCCTATGTGGTAGGGTGATTTGTGGTTCTATTGTGTTTTTTTTTTTTTTTTTTTTTTGGTGGAATGGAAAAAGGAAGAAAATTAGGTTAATAGAAGTAAAAGAATTTGGCATGTAATGTAATAAGGAATATGAGATACAATAAATTGTATTTCATCTTATTAAGAAAAAACACGAAAAAAAGCAGAATTTTTTGAGTAAGGGACTCAAAGAGGCCAGTACTAGGTAGACCCTTAGGAATGATGAGTCCTAGAAGTGAAAGCATGTCTTTGGTTTGGTGACAGTCATGAGAATTGTTATTTCCCAAGTGAATGTTCAGCAGTTTCATATATATACTGTAATATTAGTTGTTGAAGAATATGGAGAATGTATAGTATGAATAGTACTCAGGAGTTAGCTCCCATCTGTATTACACACTGACTAATATTCGGGCCAATATGGGCTTATAAAGAGCTATGTTTTGAACGCAGCAGCCAAATCAAATGTAAATGGTGAAGGAAATGTATTAATATTCCTTTTGTTAGCATAATCTTTTCTTGGCATTGAGTTAAAGTGTAAGAACCAGGTTCCATAGATTAGGATAATACCAAAAGTTAAACCTTATTTGAGTTTATTCTTTAGTGTGTCCTAAAGCAAACAACTTGCAATTTCAGGGTTTATAAATCATACCAGGGTATTAAAGCACAGTAATCGTACATGTCAGTGCTGAATGTGTGAAATAATGAAACATTACTGCTCTGTTAAGTATTTGGTTACTTTATTGGGGTGCATTTATACCCTTTTATGATTAATAACTTAGCATATCGTTATCACAGTAATTATCTTCTCCAGAATGTTTCTAAAAATAATTATTGTGATCACATCTGTTATTGCCCAGCAAGAGTTGGGGATAGGTTTTATTCAGTTAACACTGTATGTAATTAGGGTTTTTTTTATTTCTTCTTCAGTTGGCAGTTCTGCAAGTAGTAGTGCCACAAGGAGAGAGTCTCTATCTACTAGCTCTGACTTGTACAAAAGATCTAGTAGCAGCCTAGCACCCATAGGGCAACCATTTTACAATAGTCTGGGATTTTCCTCCTCTCCAAGTCCAATAGGCATGCCTCTGCCAAGCCAAACTCCAGGACATTCACTTACGCCACCGCCATCACTTTCATCACATGGATCCTCATCCAGTTTGCATTTAGGTAAAAAAAAAACCAAAACCCTTTTTATTTGTATGTATACATGTATGTGTGTTTGTGTGTGTGTTTATAATATATGTGAAATATTTGATGTTGGATAAAACATGCCAAATTGCTTTTGCTTTTAGATATTAGCCTTTTGAAAAAGTTCTACTTTCCTGAAAATCCAAAATGAGGGTCTAATGTACAGTAAGGTAAAGACCCCCTGTTGTATCTTATGTTCCTTTTACAGAGTACAATGGTGTGGTTTTTTTTTTTTTTTTTCCTTGTCTGTGCTTTTGATTTGTGTGTTTTAGAGCATCTGAGGAGTTGTTTCTACATGATAGTGAAAGAGAAATTTCACTATCAAAGGTTTTGCACACCATAAGAAAAGTAGTAATTGAACTACTTCACACAGAAATTAAACTTAAATAATTTAGTTTAGTGCAGTGGTTTTTGCTTTGTCCCTTAAATGCTCAACCATTTTTCTAAAGAGTTACATCAAGGGATTTGATTTTAGTATGTTTGTTTGTTAGAGAAGTTGATGGACCTGGGCCATGTACTTCTCTTACTTTCAGTATGTTAAAGGAAAAAAAAAAAAAGTTTTAGGCTTGTTATACCCCTGAAACTGGAATATATAGAACTTTCTATTTTTAAATTGTCCTCACTCCCAGATTATCAAGTTTACGGTTACCTTTTATCCCTCTTTGGGAAGTGTTTATCTGTTTAGATAACAATGTATTTTGAAGGGTTTTTGGACATGAGAGGCTCTGTATGAATCTCTCCCTCATGAAAAAAAAATTAGATTTTAAATTCTTTTTTTTAACTCTAATTACCTCAACTGAAACTGAAAGATTCTGTTGCTGAGTTTTATGTGCTTTGAAAGATTTAAATTAGCTTATGGTTTCAGAAATAATGTTGCTGTTTTAAGCAGATAGAATCTAAGTTAGAAAGTCAGTCGAACCCGCCACTCCCAATCATATGGGTATAACTTTTTTTTTTCCTTAAGCTCTTAATGCAGTAAATGTCCATATAATAAAGTTATATGTTACCATAATCATCATTTAAATTTATATTATTGCACAGTGAGATAGGTTCATTCGGTCCTTGCTTTCTTCTTTCCTTTTTTCTTTTTTTAGGCTATGGTTCTTCTTTCCCAATTTTGGATCTTTGTTCTTTTGGAGATATTGAATATATACAATGAATTAATTTATTGAGATGGAGTCCTAAATCATCGTTGCTATACTATTTATATGGACTTAACCAAATATGACTGGTTTTTAGCCTAATATCTTATCATCTGTTCTTCTTAGTCACTGGAGTTGCTCAGTCTCTGCTCCTATTATTACTACTGAGACACTCCTACTCATCCCATAATACATGCCTTTAAAATGGACCAAAAATTTGGAGCACAGGAAATCTAAGAATAGATCTTCATACTAGTTTTGTGTTTTATTGTTAAGATTATATTTGTCATGTCCTGTCATCTTTTCATAGATAGGTTTCAGATCAGATTCCCATTCGACTGTTAATGCTTATGTTGTGCTTCAGAGCCTCTGTAAATGGCGTTGTTCTATATAGCGAGCTTGGAAATTGGATATAAATTATTTTTTAGATACCTCGTTAGATCAAGCTGAATCTAGATAAGTGCTTCTCTCCTTTTCTCTAAAGAATCTAGCCTACTATTTGCATAGAAAGGAATTCTAGTTAGTTTGGGGAAATAATCACTTGAACCATCAGTTCTTTATTACAGATTAGTACTTTTTATATCCATAGTTAAACTCCTTAGTTTACCTTCATCTTGAAATTCAGTATTCAAACACACAGCTCTGATTCAAATAATAATTATCTGTATTATTTATTTTCCTTTGTAATCTTCTAATTTTCCTTTGCTTTAGTTGTAATACAGCTGGCAATGTTATTAACAAAGAATAGTTTGTCAATTTAAAAATAATTCAGATTTCATAAATTTTCTCTTTTCATACTGTTCATGATAGAAGGCGTCCACACTCCCTAATCTAAAAAATATCTATTTAAATTTTATATCCTTGAAAGGGATTTCTTTTTGAGACAAGTCTTAAAATTCTGATGACTTTTTGAGTCAAGTCTTCAAAAATTCTGAGACATAAAATTATACTAGAAATGAATTCACATTCATTTTTGTAAATCATTTTACTCAGCCTACATATGTATGACATGCATACAATATAGATAAGTTATCTGTCTCATTAGAATTGGTTGGAATTCTAGTACTTTCTCTTATGAGATTTTATTTTAAGAGATGAACATTATAATCATTATAATTATCAGTAGGCCTTGAGATCTGTATTCCCAAAGTATATAATGAAACTTTTTTTTTAACCCAGCCCTCCCTTTGATTGTCAGTTTTTTGAAATTCATAGAAATTTCTAATAGCAACATTCTGTCTGACTTTACAAAATAGATGATTCATTTTTTTCCCAAAGCGTAGGTATTTTCAACATATGTTATTTGCGGGAAGACTAGTAGTCATTTTTTGATTGAGGAACAATTATTTAGCTTATAAGTTTTGAGTGTTGATTTTTTATAATAACCTAGAACATTTCTGTTGAGATTTGCAACCCTGTTTTTTTTTTTTTCAATTCTAATTTGTTATATATGGCAGCAGAATGCATTACAATTCATATTACATGTACAGAGTACAATTTTTTATATCTGTGGTTATACATAAAGTATACTCACACCATTGGTGTCTTCATACATGTACTTAGGGTAATGATATTGCACTCCACCATCTTTTTTACCCCCATGCCTTCTCTCTTTCCCTCCCACCCCTTTGCCCTATCTAGAGTTCAACTAATCCTCCCGTGCTCCTCCTCTCAACCCCACTATTGATCAGCCTCCTTATATCAGAGAAAACATTCAGCATTTGGCAACCCTGTTTTCTAATGTATTGAAGTATTAAAAAATAATTCTAGTCTTCTACTTTAAAAAAATATACCTTTTAAAATTAATTTCTCATTAACTCTCTGATTTTCCTAATTTACTATCTGATTTTCCTAATTTACTTAAATGTATTTTTTTCTACAGTTGTTTTGTTTGCATCAGAGTCCAAATAAAGTATATACATTGCATTTATTTGATTTTTTTTTTAATCTGCAATTGTTTCTCCTTTTTTCTTTCCATTTATTTATTAGGGAAAAAAATTAAAAACTTTGTCCTGTTGAGTTTCCCACATTTTTGAGTTTGATGACTGCTTCCCACTGATGGTGTTTAACATGTGCCTGTCGGTCTATTTTTTCTGCAAGTGAGATTTGATCTAGAGATTTGGTAACATGGTTGGTTGGTTTATTTTGGCAAGATGTGGTTCTGTGTGCGTTCTCTCTTACACATTTGTTTGTGTCCATTGTAAAATTGCCAGCCAAATCTTCTGATCATTTTAGCAACTTCTGATCATTCCCTAAATATTTCTTCAGAGCTTGCAAATTGGTTGTACTCTTAATTTTGTATTTCTTTTGCACTTAGTATCTGCAAATTTTGAAAAATTAAAAAATTTTCTTATTAATTATGAGCTTAACCTGAAAGACAATTCATACAGGACTGAGGATAATGTTTGATTCTTTTCCCTTATTTTCTAACTTTCAGAATAATAGTCGATGTTCTGGCAGTCTCTAAAGATGACTCATGGGTGTTTATCCTTATTGTTACCTACAGATTAATAGTTTTGGAGGAAATTGTTTTAGTCCATTGTGTTCTGAGAGACACCCTAAAATTATACCATCTTTGGCCACTTGAGCCCCTTCTGAATGATTCCCATGTTGACTACTTTTTAAAAAACAGCACTTAACTTACTGGAGGTCAGGAAAGAAGCATAAAGAAACAGAACTTCAGTGATTTAACCTGAAATGCACAAGGCAATGTAAAATTCTGGGCTTTAGGTTTAACATTCAACATTAAATGAATTGTTTTCTTCTCGTGTTATATTGAACACAAGAGATTGAGAAATTTTCTGCCTGAAGTTGTTTTATTAGTCATCTTCTAGCGGTACAAAAGTGTGCCTACCCATACTTCCATTCTGTTTTTTGCTTTCAGTATATACATGAGATATTCAATACTTTATTATGAAGTCAGCTTTATGTTAGTTGATATTGCCCAAATGTAGGCCAGTGTAAGTGTTCTGAGTACATTTAGCATGAGCGAGGCTAAGCTAGGGTGTTCACATAACCTGTGTGTTCAAATGCATTATGGACTTAGTATTTTCAGTTTATGATCGGTTTGTTGGGATGTAACTGCATTATAAGTCAAGGAACATCTGTACTTTTTATGAAGAATATTGAGTATTTCCAGTATTTTTAAAAAATTCTATCTGTAACTAGCCAGCTTTTTCTTATTTATGTAATTGATGATTTCTGATTTGCCCTGATTTTTGTTCTCATAGTAATTAGATTGATATGGAACTTTTTAGATACAAAGTAGCATTCTGAACTTAGGTTTTGGCTTTTTCCTCTAATACACATTTTTCAACTGGCTTTTTTTCTTAAGAAAAAGATGTATAAAAGTGTAATGTGAGTTTTGAACTCAATGAGATTCATTTATTGAAAGGTCACTGTCAGTTCAGAAGATAATGTCATACATACAGTAAATAAATAGTGTGTTTAAATTTGCTATAGATTGGAAAATTTTGTAACCCGTTTTTAATCCTAATCAGAATATTTTATATTAAAAATAGAATGTTAAATCTTAGTATCACTTTTTCTGTTAAAAAATTTTGTTATTTGTTAAAATGCTGGCCTTGTGACCAACTTGGTTATAAGGCCATGTGCTGTTTTTTTCTGTTCTATGTATGTTTGTTAATGAAAGCAAAGAACAATATAAATTATTTTGAAGTTATCACTGAAAATGCTGTTGTCCTTCAGGTCAGATTTCCTATAACTCCCGAGCACATGATAGTTTTCTGAAATACCTTCGTATTCATTTCATCCTAGTTGTGGACATAGATTGTCTCAGTGATGGGATCAAAAATCAGAGCCTAAGGGACTTGCTCA